GACCCCAAATCACAAACACCGTTTTCCCGTCTAATCCCACACTGCTCAAGCCAAGCCAAATGTGAGACAGGATGCTGCCCTGGAAACCAAGATGACCAATTTTGTGTTCCTCCAGCTTTTTCAGTTTTCCCTGAGCTGAAGGCTTGGGCTCCCTACACTCTGCCCTTTAAATGATCCCCTATATCTAGTTACTAAGGCACCGAGCCCGAGTCAGAATTGCAGCCAGGAGGGCTGTCCGTTACCACCAACAGCCCAGAACTTGTTCCCACCAGACTTGTCCTCACGCCTGGTCTCATCTGGCTAAAGCTGCCTTGGACACTCCCTCCTAGGCCACCAACTTCTGGTTCTGAGCAGTATCGACCCCCCCCCTTCTCTTTATTTTATTTATGTTTACCATGTATATGTACACACCTACACACACACACACACACACACACACACACAGGTCAGTGGGAAGCCATTCTTTCATTCATGAGGGTCCCAGGGATCAAACTCAGGTCATCGGGCTTGGCACCAAGTGCCTTTCTTTACCTGCTGAGCCCTCTCACGTAGCCTCCTCTTTCTAGAAGCTGCAGAACCGCCCCAGTTAGAACCTCAGCCCCGAGGTTTCCAAGCCCAGCAAACCTGCTCCCCTCCCAACAGACAGGGGGGAGACTTGGGTCGTCACCTCAGAAGGGCAAGATGGACTGAGTAGTGCAGAATGTGAGGTGTGGGAGGGAGGTTTGGGGGAAGGAACATTTGGCTGTACTCCAGACAGGCGAGAGAGAGTCCTGTGGGCCACTAACCAAGCTGCCTCCTTAGCTCCCCTCAGTGACCTCGGAAGGTGGCTGGCCTTCTCTATGGACTTGGGTTTCTCATCTGTAAAATGAGGGAGGAGGTAGCTCAGACAAACCCTAAGGCCTCTCCTTATTTCCCTCTTCGCGGCTCTGTCTGTGACAGCTGTTTTCTTTGAGTGTGGCAGACTCTAGGGACTGTAACCTATTCTAACCGTACTCTCTAGTCAGGTCCTGACTGGACCACTCCCCTCAAAGGCACGCTAAGCTCCTTCCGGCCTACCATTCCCCGGCTCTGTCACAGATATCTCTGGAGCCTCTTCTGTCTGCTCCTGTCAGGGTCTTGACGTCTCAGGCTGGTTCTTGCTGGATCTTGGGCCCTGCACGCCTATCACAGTGCCAGGCAAATGGTACCAGCTCAGGTTCCCTGCGTGGGAAGGCTGAACCCCAGCTATCATCACCCTTTTCAATGTACTCCCTTCCGCCTGGGGTGCTAAACCCCTGAGCTCCCTGTCAGAGAGGTGAGGACTTGACTTCCTGTGGGGAGCACCACATCCTACCAGTCCTGCGTGCTCCTGAAGCTGGCATCCTGGGGTTCAGGCCAGATCCTGCATTTCAGGGCAGGAGTGAAGACTTGTCTGTCTTTGGGCTTGAGATGTTTGTTTAAGTCACTGGGCCACTCTACCTAAAACATGATCCTGCCCACACCCTTGGCACAGGCTCTGCACAAGGTACTCATACAAGAAGGTACAGGATGGACAGTGAGTTCGGGGAGATCTGGTGTCCGTCTTACAGGTTCAGTTTCCTTATCTGAACAATTGTCGTTCTTTAGCAGGAACAGCTCAGAAATGAGGCTCGTCAAGAGGGTACTTGATGAACACCACCGCTTTATCTGCATAACTCAGAAAATCCCAGACCTGTTTGATGTGAGTATGGCCTGTGTGCAAGCTGTATGTGTGTGTGTGTGTGTGTGTGCGCTCGCGCGCACGCGCGCGCGCACTCACATGTGCAATGTAACATGATATATTGGAGAACTGAACGGACACTGGAATCTTGGGCCCAGTAGGGTACCCAAGGACAGGCTTAAAGCAGAGACCCTTGGATTGATTCAGAAACCACAGGCGACCGAAAACAACCTGGAAAAGCCCTCCTCTAGAAAGAGTGCTTCCTGGAGCATCACACACCCGACTTCCTAGAAGTGGCACCCTGGGGATTATAGCTCATCTTCCTCTCAGTAGACCGGATATTTTTATGACAGGAATTCTATTTTTTTTTTCTTTGTGGGTTTGGAGCCTGTCTTGGAACTTGCTTTGTAGACAAGGTTGGCCTCCAACTCACAGAGATCTGCCTGCCTCTGCCTCCCGAGTGCTGGGACTAAAGGTGTGCACCACCAATGCCCAGCTAGGAATTCTGGTATTCAAAGGTTAAGTTCCTAGCACTAGAGTAGCAGTTTTGAAGGAAGGCAGGGAGGGAGAGAGAAAAGGGGGACGGAAGGAAGGAAGGAAGGAAGGAAGGAAGGAAGGAAGGAAGGGAGGGAGAAAAGAGCCAATACAACTTCCATCCCTAAGGTGAGAGTAAAACCGGCACTTCCAAAGAAGACCCTGCCTCGCCCCAGAGGATGATGAGGGCTGCGGTGGCTTGCTTTTGTCGTAAAAACAGCCAGGGAGCTGATGAAACCCAAACTGAGATGCTGTGCTTTCTATTTCAGACAATTTGTCTCTGTGCTTTTAGCTCAGCTCTGCCCGTGTCTCTACATTTCCACGTCCCTACTCAGCCCTAACGGTTCTGTAGCTTGTCCCATCCAATACACCCCCCAAGATGCCCTTTCAGGCCTCAGGGCCGTGTGCCCACCGGTACCGCCTCTGACGCCTCAGTTTTGGTTCAGGTTCCTCCATCCCGGGCCTCCCCCACTATGATTCAACTTCAAAGGAGCCTCTAAGTGCACTTGCCTGTCCAGTTATGTAAAACCTCCCTGTCTAGTATTTTTTTTTTTTCTGAAACTAGAAAAGTTGAAGAAGAGAAGAACCAAAGAGCTCCCACGTTGTTCTGGAGGCCCCAGATACCCTCATCCAAGTCCTCTTAGGACTTGTTCAAAAGCCTGGCTGATGGTATTAAAAAAAAGGTGGGTGAGGCTTAGCACCCTGCCCTTGCTTCTACACTTTGTCAAAGGCAAAGTGATGTAACAAGCACACACTTAACCAAATTCACTTCCCGTCTCTTCCACGAGCAGCATGTGTGAGCAGCACATAGTTAGTTGGCTCTAGAATTAAATCAGATAGCCCGTCTAAAAGTTGAAAGGTACTATAGCAAGCCAGACAGGGCTCAGAGGGAGCTAGCTCGGTTAATAAAGCTCACACTAGACTGGTAGGTAGCCCAGAATATTTAAAAGAGAACAGATACCTGCACATAACCCTGGTTGTCCCAGTCAACTGGGCAGTACACTCTCTGCCAAAAAGAAGTACAGCCAAGCATTCCCTGATAGCCATGGCGCCTCAGCAAAGAGACCTGTTTGATCCCGATGGCCACTGTCACTTGGCTACAGTAGGAGTCTGATGACTCACCTGCTTTCTAGGAATTTCCTGGCCCAAATGTAGCTAGGACCAGACCGCCCACTGCACTGGACAGTGCTGGTGGCCCGTAATGGGCGGATTCTTATTTTTAGGTTTTGCTTCCATTGCATGATCATTCGCCCATTTCACGGACTCACAGTGAAGTGTCAATGAGTACTAGGCACCGGGCTAGGTGGTCACAATGCGAAAGTAAAGGAGCCAGGAACGGCCCACAACATCTTCAGAGGGTAAGCAATCTGGAAAGGCTGACGGGGCACGTCGTGTCCACTGGCTATGCTCCATCTTATGACACTGAGGCAAGAAATACTGCAGGGACAAGACATGCTGTCTGTGCAGAAGCATGGGGAGGGCACATAGACACAGTACCCACCCACACCGCCTCCCCTCACCGGTGTGGCAGGCATGCTTGGGTCCTTTGCATTCTGGATTTCTTCAGCAAGTTGTCTGGCTACACCTTGACAACTCTGAGTGACCTTGGGTGTTTCCCTAGTCCCCACAAGCAATGCATCTACAAACTATCCCTTGGGTTGGGCTTGCAGACAATTCATACTTTCACTCATTCAACAAATATTTGTTGAGTCCCTGTTATGTACCGAGGCAAATTCATTTCGCCTTGCCAGGGACTCTTCCGACAGAGCTTCCCCGAAGCACCCCAATATTGACTCCAACACACTCCAGAGCTTCTGTTTTATCTTAGAGATGGAAGGACAACTCGGGGCTAGGGCAGTCTGGAAAAGATGTCTTGCAAAACAAAAAGCCACCCGGCATCAGGGAGGAGTCCCACATGGTAGGTTCCCACACTGCCTTCAGAGCTCTCAGCTGCATCTGTGGCCACGGAACCCACAGCTCTGCCCCCAAAGGCAGCTGTGACCCTAAGCCTGGCCGTTGGCTCTGCTGCACGGGCTCCTGGAAGGGGTGGAGCCTTCGGTGTAGAAAGGTGCTGGCTTCCAGAACACCTTGCCTAAATTTGCTATAGGTCCGCTTTCTTAAGCTCCTTTACCAAGGTGAGCCCGAGCCTCATGGCGCCTCTGGCAGTTCTGAGCGCCCACTGCGAGGGGACAAATTTCACAGTGGTTTAAGGTCAGGGACAGAACTGGAAAGCAAGCCCCCACCTCACCTCCAAGTATTTCAAGGCATCATTCATGTCCTTTCCCAGAGTGCCCAGAGGTCCACTGTCCCCCACTTCCTGTTCCCCAACCTTCAAAGCAAGAGCCTTGGAGCACCCCCCACACACACACTCAGGTGCCTTCAATGGCGTCCATTGTCCACGAGGCTGTGTGGCTTGACCCCCAGCCCCATGAGTAGCAGGACAGCGGGCTCAGAGAGGAATCTGCCTGGAGCGCCTCCTCTACTGACTGCCTTGGGGGAGTCTGTGGGGTAGAGGCCCCGCTGAATGTGACCTATTGTCTTCAGGGTGGATTTAGGAAGTGCCAGGCTCCCATCAAACAGCCCTGCTCCCTGGGTAAAACAAAAAAAAGGCTGTTCGTTTGGGACCTTTCCCCCTTATCTCCTTTTCCTATCTCCTTAGGCTTAGCTCTGGTGTAGTGTTCAAAACCACTTCCCCTCCGAGCCAATCAGAAGCCGGGGCTCACCTGTGGCCCTGAGGTGAGGTTATTTATAAACGCCTCCCTGGATTATTTGAGCAGAGCCCTTTCACACACCTCAGGAACACCTCTCCACTGCCTGCTACCCGCTGCCCGGACACACCTGCAGCCCTGCCCAGCCGGCTCTGCTCACTCAGAGGTAAGCCCCACCCAGCCCAACCCACCCAAAGGGCTGGGGGTTATCCAGAGAAGAGCAGAGGCCCCAGGGTACCTCCAAAAGGGAGATGATAGGGTGGGGACTTGCCAACCTGAGCACAAGTAAGAAGGACATTCTGGACCGGAGCCTGTGAGCAGCCCTCCAACCCTGCCCTGTGTGGAGCCCACCGTAAATACCTCAGCTACTAGGCAGAGTTTAGCTGGAGGAGAAAGCAGAACCGTATGGGAAGAGGTCAGTGGCCCTCAGCTAAAGTGGGACAGAGGAAGGCCTTCCAGGACAGGGAATTGAGTGTGGGCCTTCCTGGGCCACCTGCTCTCTCCTCTTCTTTCCAAGGCCTGGAAGCAGAGAACTCTCTGTACATCTTGTCTGTGTGGCTGTGTCCCCGACCTTCCATCTCCAGACTCCCTCACTTTCTTTCCCAAGCACGGGGTTCTTCGCATTAGCTGCACAGACTCCTATTTGGTCCCTGTTACTTCTGTGAAGCTGGAAGAGGTAGACGGGGAGGAGGTTAAGGAAAAGAAGGCAAGCGAGGGAGGGGCGGCTCCGTCAGGCAGGTAGAGTTTGAGCCATGCAACATGGAAGGGTCTGGGTGAACGCAGCAGGTGAGGAGCCAGGCACGCGAGCACCCCAGCCCCTCAACTTCCCACCCCAGAGTTCTAAGGTGTCCCATGGCATTCTTGGACAATGTCTCTGCTTCTGGAAATTAGCCCAGAGGCTCCCCCAAACTAGGCCAGCAAATCTTTTATCATCACAGCAGCAGCCACTCAGTTGACCTTGGGCCTGTTAGGACTGAGAGCCCGGAGAAGAGCAACGTTAAGGACATGCCCCTTGGAGTGGCGAAGCCTTCCCCACCCTGAAACAGAGCAGATTGAGAGAGGAAACCCTCCCTATGTGTTCTTACTCGAAGATAATTCTCTCCCAGAGCCCCTACAGTGCCCCACATACAGAACCTGGCCAGAGCCTGCTTGGGCAGCATGAAGACCAGCACATACCAGAACCGAATCTATTACTATACCAGAGCTTCCCCCCGAACATCCGGGGGTCTGTCCTGACCTGGGGCTCACTGTACGGGATCCTGAAGCAAAGGTGACCCCTTTATCTCTTAGTACTCAGAGGCTTCCAGAAGAGCGACATAAAATCTATACATAGCGAGAGTGTGTCAACCCAAACAAAATGACCTGAGGAGGCTTGTCAGAGGAATGGGGACCCGTTGGATGTGAGCCAAACGGAGGGCGATGTGGTCATGACCTGATGGATACAATCCCCTGGGGGAGTCAGCCTCCACTCAATGCCACTTGGAATTTTGACCCAGATTCTTGGGTTCGCGGGTCTCTTTAGGGATTTCTAAGAACCGAACCCCGCATATCCTTACAGGGACCTTGTGGTCTGGAGCAGGTATCTCCCTTAGTCCCAGTTCATCCCTTCTGAACAGGGAGAGCAGATGGGCAAGCGGGCTTGGAGATAAGGAATGGGACCCGAGTGTTGCGGTAATAAGTACCCTTCGCAGGATACAGCCCCAGAACAGCCGGAGAGGCAACAATTGCCTTGGGTACACTCTCCCTTATATCACAAAGGAGGGCCTGGAGCTAGAAGGGGCCTGCAGATTTGTGACAGAATCATGGTAACAACAGAAAGAGTATTTCAAAATGCCTTAGAGGGTGGCAAGCTTCTAGAGCCTCTCCGCCCGGCAGAGGCACAGTCTGCAGCTGGGGCCCCAACCTTCTGCCAGACAGCTTATACGCCTACACTGGCCACAGAGAGACTGCCCTCTCTTGGGATACCTACCCTAGGTGAAGAAGGGAAGGCAAGGGGCAAGCCCTTGAAGCAAAGGGGACATCAAGGTGACCTTTCCACTCCCCAGAACACAGCCATTAGATAGGTAGAGATCTGTGATAAGAACACCTGGGATCTGCCAGGCCAGGACTGCTCCTGTGTCTGGCACCGGTGTATCTAGGAAAACTCCCCGGAGCCAGGGCGCAGGAAGGAAGTCATTCTGGGCCACGGTGACAGGGTCACCTCCAGACATGACAGAAATCCGCGGGCAGGCCCTCACCTTTCCGCTCCCCAGTATTCCTCGTCCTCCTACAGAAATGATTTGTAACTCTCCCCAGTAGCCCCCAAACCATCGGGAGTGGGAGGGCCTGTGGCTGCAGCATAGGCTCAGGCAGGAAAAGGATGGCCTGGTGTGACGCCTAAGGTGGCCGAGCGGGACTCTTCCAGAGAGGCAGTGACAATAATGACCAAAACTGACTGACCGCAGTGCAGGGCCAGACACCCGCTCACTCTCCATTCCCTCGGGCTTCGTGCCGATCCCCCCTGAACAAGCATCCTAAGGGGTCCACAGACCTTCAGACGCAAGCGAGGGTCCAGCCGGCTTTCTTTTGTATGAGTCCTTTGGAAGCGGTCCTTACAGAGTCCTTTTGTTACTTTCTCCCTTTCTCCAGCTCCTCATCTGTCTGTGCAACATCCAGCCTCAGGCTGGCCTTGGTCCTCCCTTCTTCCCTGGCCCAGGGTTAGGAATTACTTAAGTGACCACATCTTCGCTCCTCTCCTCTCCTCTCTTCTCTTCCTCTCTCTCTTCTCTCCCTCCCCCTGTTTTTTCTCCCCCCCCCATCTTCATCCCTCCCTCCCTCTCATTCTCTAAGTCCTAAAGAGCCCACCCACCTCTAGCTCTTCAGGATGCCCTCTGCCCCTTCTCCACAGTGAGACTCACCTTTCTGTCCCTCGGTACTGTCACATGGCTCCTGCAATCTGCCCGTGGGATGGGGGTGTGATGGGGGGAGACTCAGTACACAGCTATGACCGCAGAACACTTGGCCTACCAGGACTGAGTCCAACAAGGGAGCAGCTCATCTCACTCCTGATACCTAACGGTCTTGCTCCTTTTTGTTGTTGTTTTAGAGGATTCAATTTTATGTATATGAGGTTTTTTTGGCATGTATGTATGTATGTATGTATGTATGTATGTATGTATGTATCACGCGTGTGCCTGATGCCCACAGGGGCAGAAGAGGCTGTCAGATTCCCTGGAACTGGAGTTAGGGCTTGTAAGCCACCATGTGTGTGCTGGGAATTGAACCCCGTTCTTCTGCAAGACCAGTAAGTGCTCTTAACACCCCCCAGCCATCTCTCCAGCCTTCTTTGTCTTTTACCACATTCCCACACGACTCAACGTCGTAAGGCCCTCTTAGCTCTCTGAGAACTGCCAGGGGCATCTGCAAGAGGCTGAGGTCCTCTCTTCTGTAATAGCTCCCTGCTTTTCCCTTCTCACACTCCCCTTACTCAAGGTCCCAAGGGCTGACTGGATGACAGGTCCGCCCCTGCTATGCACAGCCCACCTCAGCCTTCCCTCCCTGAAAACAGGATGTGTGATGAAGGCACCTCCTCATCAAAGAGCCAGGGTTGCCCCTGAGCCTATACTTGCAACTCAATCAGGCAGAGTCCTCAAGAGAAGAAAACAGAACCCAAAAGTCTTCGTGATTCAACGCCATCCAAGAGCACACATCAGTGTTGTCCCTTGGGGTCCTGGAGCCCTTCCACCAGAAGCATCTGAGTAGTTGTCAAGGCCTAGATAACACATATCTGTTATTCTCCATGACTTGGGGCCAGCACAGTCCTCAAAGTAATCCCCTTCTAGACAGAGCTTCCTGCCTCCAACGCCAACTGCTGGCTTCTCCTTTTTAGAAACGCGTTTGTGAAAAGCCTGGTCCGCTGCAACACCCCCCAGTTCTGGAGTAGAAGAGAGAGAGTACAGAAAAGGGGCAAGCTGGGGTCACCAAAAGCAAAGGGACTTTTCCTTCTGTTACCCTGTGTCACCGGGGACTCCCAGCGTTCAGGCTGCAGGGAAGCCTTGCCCGGAGAGGCAGAGACCATGCTGAGTCACAAGCCCATTACTGGCTAAAGGTTTCCCATCCCTACACCTGCCCTTCTTCTCTTTCCTGAACAGTCAGCCAGGAATGGGAATGGCCGAAGCCCGCCACAGTCTAGCCCCGGAAGAGAACTGAGGGGAAGGGGCAGGACAATGGCTTAGGCCAGGGTGCTGGGAAAGACTTCCGGATGGAGGTGGGGGGAGGAATTCGAGCAGGTCTTGAGGACAGGCAGGTCTAGAAAGGCAGCAATGAGTCAGAGCACCTAGGGTGAGGAGGAACTGTGGAGAGAGACCCAAGCCTGTTTGGGGTGAACAACCTGCCTGCACAGGGCAGAGGGACCCAGTCAACTGGATCGTCTAACACAAGGCCTAAAAAAAAAAAAAGGAGCCTGGGCTTGGTCCTCCTGGAAATGGCCACTGGGTTTTCCCAACAGGACCTACGACGACGTGTCGAGTGGAAGAGTAGAGCTGGTGGCCAAACATTCAGTTAAGAAGGGTGCTTGAGTGAAGTCAGACCTGGGGGTGGGGGTGGGGACAAGGGGCGGGAAAAGGGTGATTGGGTGGCAGGGGGAAAGAAAAGTAACCCCTGCGGACATGTAGAATGGATGGGGGAATAAAAGCAGGGGGTAGCCCACCCCACAAATGTACTGGCAGAACAGATAGCCTTTAAAAATAGCCTGGCGCCACCCTCCAGCCCACCCCCACCCCACCCTACGGGCTGGCACTGAGGCAAGATTCCTTCCCTCTCCTTCCTCTTCTGGGTGGCTTTGCTTTGTCAGTCAACTCACCTTGCAATATTTGGTCAGCTCAGGGGCCTGGGACACACTCCCCACACTGCAAGCGACCCTGAAGCCAGGCCCAGCACTATGGGTTCCCCTGGGGAGTCACACTGCTCCCAAAGAGCCTGCCCAGCAAACCAGCCAGAGAGACAGACCCTGGCAGACTCCAGGGAGGGTGGGAGGGCAATGAAGCCATTTGCTCCACGGAGCATGAAGACTGCTTGCCGGAGAATAGTCTCTCATAAGCAGGAAAGCATCCTCCCCTCTTAGTAATAATAATCAGTGTTGTTAGCATTCACTGGAGACCTAGGAAACCGGCATCACACACAGGCTCACTTAATCCTCACAGAAACTGCCCGGGACTATTATCCCCACTTACAGATGAAGAAACTGCATCTTTGAACCCAGATCCTTCTGCCTCTAGAACTGGGGCTGCTTTCTTGAGGCCGCTTTGAGTTTCTACCATTACAAGTCTCACATACCATGGCCCTTACTCACTTCTGCCCATGTCCCCTCCAAAACCCCTTGGTTGATTCACTCAACAAGCATTTGTTAAGTACTAAGTATCAGACAAGTAGCTGGGCAGGGGCTCTACGGGTAGGTTCATCCACCCATTTTTACCCTCTGGTGGATATCATCGTGGGATTTCACAGTACATCCCTTAGCTTCCATTCCAGAAGGCTGTCTCAGCTCCCACACTAAAGGAATGGATACACCAATCAACCCAAGCTCAGCTTCCTTAACCAAGACCCCCAGGTTGCTGTCCTTTCCATTTTACTCAATTCCTTCTTGGCCAGAAGGCTTACATCCCTGTGCAGCAAGCCACGTAACCCACATTGCTAAGGATGGTTCAGAGAGCCAACATCACCCTCTCCTTCCCTCCAACAAAGCCAGAGCCAGCCTCGGGTCCCTGGATTCTCAGCGCTTTCTAGTGTTTTCTTCCCAAAAAGCCTACGCTAGCACACTCCCTGAGGCCCCCACCGAGGAAGTCTGGTGGGACGGATCCCTTCTATGCTTGCCCATCTTCAACCCTACCTCAAAACTTTGGGGTTACAGCCACCCCAGAATCCCCAGTACCTCTCAAACGCAAGTCTTCCCTCAAACCACCCTATCTCTCTCCTCCCCTGAGGGCCTCTACGTGGCTTTTGCCAACTGGGCTTGAGGGACAGGGGAAGGGGTCGGAGTGAGAGGAGGGTGGAGGAGACATTCTCACAGGGAACTCCTCTGGGCCCCAAGGGCCATGGCACCAAGCTCTGCCCAGCTCAGCCTCCTGGAACATCAGTGAGGTTACGCAAAACGTGAGGAGGAGAGAGACACCAGTACACAAGGGTGGAGGAGAGGCTAGGCCCAGGAAGCTGTAGGAGAGAGCTGAAGCCGGCCATCCAGACTTCCCCAAGCGCACCATTGTCCTTCCTGGGGAAACCTGTTGGTGAAGTCGTGGGCAGGAGTCTCATCCAACAAAGGTCCTCCTGAGGTCACGTCAGCTGTCCCCCTGCCTCTAGGCAGGCAGTTTCACCAGTTGTTCCCAGTTAACTGGCTGAATGATATGAGCCCTTCTGCCAGGGACGCTGAGGCCTGGGGCAGGAAGTGGTCTGTGGGGCCATCCCGTCCTAAGGGGCGCAGGAGTCACGCGTGGAAACCAGCTACTCCCACCTCCTCTTTGCCTGGTGTTCGGCAGGAGTGACAGTGATGTCACGGGTGTGGAGTGCCAGCCACGTGCTGGGTGCCAAGCAAAACAGCCAGGGCGAGTGTGTGTATCATCAGTGCCTGAGAAGGAAGGCCACCAAAAGACGTGAGTCTGGTGGAAAGACTTGACTGAGGAAGGGAGGCACCTCGCTGGATGGGGGCGGGAAGGCAGGGATAAATCTCTGTTGCAGAGAGGACCGGAGAGAGGAGGACCTAGCTGGCACCGAGAAGGGATGCCCCCTCACCTTTCCATACCCTGCCTCTCCTAAAGCTTGCCAATGCCCCAGACATGAGCCAGCCCAGGCCCCGCTACGTGGTAGACAGAGCTGCGTACTCCCTCTCCCTCTTCGATGACGAGTTTGAGAAAAAGGACCGCACCTACCCGGTGGGAGAGAAACTTCGCAACACCTTCAGGTAACGTGGCCCGGAGCCCAGACTCCCTCTCCTCTGTCCCTCACCAAAATCCATTGTGCTCCAGTCAGAGTTCCTGGACCAGTACCCAAGCGGTTAGGGAAGCCCTGAGGGGGGCGGGGGAGGAGATTCTGAACCCTGGATATAAGAGCCTGCAAGCTCATATACCCTGAGATCCTTAGGGAGGATGGAGAGGCAGAACGAGCCACTAGCCATTGCCAAGGGTTATAGGGTGTTTCTGTCCCCTACATAGAGTCTGTCTCCTGACATCTTAGTCCTCTTAATTCTCTCTCGGGGCTTCAGAGGACCCTTAGCTGGATATGCCACAGCACAGTAGAGTAGTAGGGGGCACCTGGGACCCTCCTCCATACCCTGTTCCCTGTGTATCAAAAGGTACCTGAGTCACCATCTCCACATGCCTCATCCCCTTGTGGATAGTCCTTCCTCCATCCTGTTCAGAGAATTCCTAGAGGAAGCCCTAAATTCCTAGGCTGTACTAAGAGGTTTCAGCAGCTTTCGGGTTCTTCCCACTCTCGGGTCCCTGGACTGTGGTGGTGGGCTGTGCAACCTTGCCTAGAAGGACGGGACTATCCACAGTGGGCCCCCAGAAGCCTGAGCCCACGGGCTTCCCCCTCCCCGCTCCCGCAGACTTCTGGCAGACCTCACCCTCTCTGGCTGCCCTGGGGAAACAGCTGATTCAGTTACTTGGATTGAGGTCACTGGCAGTAGCCGAAGTAGAGCTACAGGAGGAACTGGTTGAGGCTGGGGAATCACCCACTGGAGTCTTTACTAAAGGCTGAGACCAGCCCTGCGTCTCCTGGGAGGGTTACCTCTGCTCAGCGACAAGACACTCAAGAGTCCTGTGCCCCGTGCCTGGGCCCTGTCCCTGCAGCTGTCCCCTCGGATGGACGGGCTTAGCCGTCTTTATGTTCAAGGGGTTTACGTTTAGGTTGCTTGTGTGCTGGAGGGGTGAAGGATCTGATGTTTTCCCGAAGGTTAGGGGAGATTCGAACTATAGAGGGGTGATTCGAACACTGGCAGGTCCCATGACACTGGCACCGGAGCCCTGAACAGTGCCTCAAACCCAGGCGTTGCTCCCATGAATGCTGGTTGATGAATGAATGAATGAATGAATGTCCGGAGAGCCACTCCCTCCCCCTGGTTCCACCCTGGCCTCTGAGGCCACTGTATAAGGTGTCTGGCAACCCCTTGCCAGCATATGTCTCAGACTTCAGGTTGCTTTGCCTGACATGTGGCAGAGGTGCGAGAAGGCTGGGCGCGTGACTTGTATTCCTCCCCCAGCCAACTGTCTACCGGCGAGTCCAGTTTCCTCTGCCATAAGCAAATCTGTCAGAGCTCCAGGAGGGCTGTTGCCTCCTAACACAAGACTTCTAGGTATGCATGAAGCCATTCGCCACGTCCTGGACACAAGGAGTACCATAGGCCCCACAAGAGGCTGGACTGACAGGCTGGTAGAGATGCCGTCTGTTCTGCTGAGTATTTAATCGGGACCCCCCAAAAAAATCTGCCTAGACTTTCCAGGATACAAAGCATTGTCTGTGTTGGTTTCAGTCTTGGGTGACATCCAGGGGCCCCAGTGTCAGGGAAACTATTGTTGGGCAACAACAAAGAGTAAAGATTGGTGAAGGGCAGGAAAGGAAGCCTAATCAGACTAGGCCCGTGAGTCACTGGAGGAACCCAGAGCATTTGACTTCCCCCACTTGGGAGAAGAAAAGCAACCCTCACCCCAAGTCATAAATCTGCCGGCTGTCACCGTTGTAAGCCCTTGTTCGGGCTGCTCTTGAGTTTCCACGGAAGGATCTCAGGGCGCTGCACAAACAGTAGCGATCAATACTCCTTACCCTGTTGGCCAAGGAACGGCTTTCCTATCTTTTCACTCTGATGCCTTGCCAGGGGTGGACACCCATGCTGGACTCCCCATACGTAGAGGGCGGCAAGTGGGCAGGGTGCCCTCACAGGGTCAACAGAGGTTGCCTTCTTTGAGAAGTTCAAAAAGAAAGGGACTTGACACCTTAAAGAAGGCTGAGCCACCATGAAATCAACATCTCCAAGCCCACGTGGAGAGCCAGCAACCATAACCATGGCCCGTGTGTGTGTGTGTGTGTGTGTGTGTGTGTGTGTGTGTGTGTGTGTGTGTGTGTGTGTGCGCGCGTGTGTGTGTGGCTGCGCTCTCCAGTGTAAAAGCATGGCTTTCCCTCCGCAAAATCCTGCAGCACAGGGTGCACACTCCAGAGCGCACTGAGGATGCCTGATCTAAAGGATGGGGATGCTAGCTAGCATTCCCTGCAACCTGCCCTCTCCTCCTACAGATGCTCCTCCGCCAAGTTCAAAGCCTTTGTGTTTGGGCTGTTGCCTGTACTCTCCTGGCTTCCCAAGTACAAGATCAAAGACTACATCGTCCCGGACATGCTGGGTGGACTCAGTGGGGGCTGCATACAGGTGCCACAAGGTGAGAGTTACCCCCCAGCCAGGCCCAATCTTTCCCTACCTCTACCCCAGCCTTTCTGTGACCTCCGTGAACCAGGCGCTCTCCTGAGCTAAAGTCTCCTGTACTTTGCCTCCTGCAGGTATGGCATTCGCCTTGCTGGCTAACCTGCCCGCAGTCAATGGTCTCTACTCCTCCTTCTTCCCCCTCCTGACCTACTTCTTCCTGGGGGGAATACACCAGATGGTGCCAGGTAAGGTCGCTTCCCGTCTCCACCCCTCCCCCACTCTCCCTCCCCGACCGCACCCCCACCCCCACTGAGCATGATGACTTGGACCTCAAAGACACAGGGCATAGTGAATTGAAGGGGGTTCCGTTTCCACCTTTATTCTCCTGGAACTGATGCTGATCCAACCTGAAAGGGTGATCGATGCATCGGTCCTCGATGACCTTGGAGAAATCACTATGCCCACGAGAGCTCAGTCGGTCCGGCCCTATGGCATCTTCCTCCCGGGATGGAGAGCCAAGTGGGACAGCATGAGATCCGCCACATGCTATGCAGACCAAGCAGACTGAGACATGGCTGCTCTCAGCAGGCCACTGCAGGGACATTTGGAGCTGTCTAAGAATTGAGGATACAAAGATAAGTTTAAAAAAAGGAGACAAAGAGAGCCCAGTTCACAAGTGGCTCCAGGCGATTGAGAGAGGAGACGGAAGGAAAGTGCCTGGACACAGGGCTGGTTTCTGGTCCAGCCTCTGCGTGCTCTTCTGAGCTGGCATCCAACAAGGATGTGTCTGATCTGGGGACGTGTCCTAGGCGGCTTAGATGTGACTGCCGGTGATGATGCGCCAGCAGAGACGGGTGTAGGGAGCCGTTCCTCTGGGACTGGTGCAAAGTGTTCTGGGGCTCCTTTCCACCGGTATGCTGCAAACTTCTGACTCTTGCTGGCCGGGTGGGGCACACAGGTACCTTTGCCGTTATCAGCATCCTGGTGGGTAACATCTGTCTGCAGCTGGCCCCGGAGTCGAAATTTCAGATCTTCAACAATGCCACCAACGAGAGCTACGTGGACACAGCAGCCATGGAGGCGGAAAGGCTGCATGTGTCGGCCACGCTCGCCTGCCTGACTGCTGTCATTCAGGTGAGGAGCCCAGCTCCCAGTCCTACAAGTGACCCTACCTCAGAAGGTGACAGGCCACTCTATCCCTACCTCAAAACCCCCAGTGTGCTGTTAAAGCTGCCCTCCCCACCCTAGGGACTAAAAGGACCTTAAAAATAGTTTAGTCTCCATCTCATCGTGTGTACCAATGCTGCTGATGAAATTCTCTTAAGCATAAAAGTCTGCCTGGAGGCTTAGAGATGCCGCTTGGAGAAACCCTGATCTCTGCAAGCATCCCTCCCGCCCCTCCAGCCTCCTTCCCAGCCCCAGCCCTGGGACAAAGGATCCCTCCAGTGTTGATGAAAGATGCCGGTGTGGCAGAATGCAAGGACATCGGCCACTTCAGAGAGTATTTGTCACTCACCTCCTAATGTTTCCTGGTTGCTTCGCTCTGCCAGGAATTGAGCTAGGCCCTGAGGATACAAAGATAGGTTAAAAAAAAAAAAAAAAGTCCCAGCTCACAAGTGGCTCCGAGCCGGACAGAGGAAGTGGCCTTGTCAACAGATAGATTTGTGTGCCATGGTGAGATAAGAGGCTCAGTAGGACCGTGAACAAGCGGCTATGGGAACCCAGGAAAGTCATCAGAGAGGAGGGGACATTTGGCCTGAGAAGGCAAGGACGAGTGTTGGTTCAGTAGTGACTGAGCGTGAACAAGTGTACAGGCTGCTTCAGGCTGAGGGGCGGCGCCAAAAAGCACCGAGGCCTAAGTGAACCCTGAGTAGGTAGGGGACAGCAAGGAGTTCGGTGTGGCTCAAGGACAGAGGGTCAGAGGAAGTGGGAAAGGAAGGCAAGGGCCCAAGAATAAGTCTGCAGTCTGTGTGTGTGTGTGTGTGTGTGCGCGCGTGTGTGTGTCCGGCAGCAGCTTGGGTCCTTACTAGCTCAGAAAGATGGTTAGCAGGTGGTACTAAGGCGGGGCCGGGCTGAAACCCAGGCAGGAGAGGCAGAGTGGTGGCCATGGAGAAGGAGATGGAGTGGGAGGAAGGAACGTTTTTGCCAAGAGCTCTCCCAGCTCTTAGCGGCTAACTGTGTGGGGGAGGAAAGGCGGTGTTTGGGTCTCCAGTTTTCCGTTGGGCAACAGGTGGCCCGGGGTGGGGTGGGGAGGAGAGGACCACGTTTATTTTAAGATAAAGGGACTGAAGCCAGCATGGTGACGTGACACAACAGAGAGGCTGTGGCTGAGGGGACCAAGGCTTGGTGGCAGGCACCCAGGTGGCAGTGAATGGCAGGGAAAGGTTGCTCTCCCCTGAGTCCCTGCTGTTTCTGAGCTCTGAGGGTTCCAGCCTGCATGCGGGATGCGTGTCCTGTCCCGGCAGTTTGAACACGGCCGACTCTGGGCTTCCTTCCTTCTAGATGGGTTTGGGCGTCATGCAATTTGGCTTTGTTGCCATTTACCTCTCGGAATCCTTCATCCGGGGCTTCATGACAGCCGCTGGCCTGCAGATCCTGATCTCAGTGCTCAAGTACATCTTTGGTCTGACCATCCCCTCCTACACAGGCCCAGGCTCCATCGTCTTTGTGAGTCCGGAGGAAACCAGAAACACGCTTTGGGGAGGGGCGGGCTGGGAGCAGAGTTCACATCACATAGCAGGTGCTGACTATTCATTCTGATAGCGGGCTGGGCCAGAGGGTAGAGGGGATCCCATTGGGTCCTCCTTATGGGAAAGGGGTCTAACACAGATCCTCATGTGCTCACTGGGCCCTCTGGTCAGTCCCTACAGAACAGGTGACCCCATTCCTGTGCCTCAACTCCTTTACCTGGGAAGCCCTTCTTTTTTTTAGTTTAAACTCTTGACAAGAAAAAGGAAATATATCATCGTGAAGCCCTTAGCTCCCACCCCAGGTGGATCGCAAGCTCCTATAACTGTAGCTGTAGTGGGCCTGACACTCTACCTGGGCTCCACAGGCATCTGTACACATGTAGCATACACTCGCACAGACACACACACATGAATACTATGAGAAAGTGTGCAGGGTGCGCCCTTTGGGAGAGGGTGGTTGGGGATGGGATGGTATTCACAAGCAGGGCTGTGTTCTGCCTTTGTATGTCTCCAGCAGCATGTCTCCCCTGGGCCAGGCACCCAAGGGCAGGGCAGTAGGGGGAGGAAGGATGGGAGCCTGTGATGCTCTCTCCCTTAGACCTTCATTGACATTTGCAAAAACCTCCCACACACCAACATCGCCTCGCTCATCTTCGCCCTGGTCAGCGCTGTCTTCCTGGTGTTGGTGAAGGAACTCAACGCCCGGTACATGCACAAGATCCATTTCCCCATCCCTACGGAGATGATTGTGGTGAGGGCCCTGCCTGTCTGGAGATGGGGCTCCCAGGGTCAGGATAGGGTGGCTGTGAGTAGAGGAGCCCCTGCCCATCCCTCTACCCACTCCACTGGCAGCTAGCGGGACAGGGAGGCAGTCTCGTGTGAACATGTTCACGGCCCGCCCTGTGACTCCTCAGGCTGCCTCATATACACGCAGCCCTAAGGAGGCAAGACAGTGTGGGGAAGGGGGTTAGGAAAGACCCCTGATCTAGCCCCAACTAAGAGCCAATATCCATTCTCCGCTTTGGGGTCTTGCAGGTGGTAGTGGCAACAGCTATCTCTGGGAGCTACAAGATGCCAAAAAAATACCACATGCAGATCGTGGGAGAGATCCAACAAGGGTGAGTCCAGATCACTCGGAGGCTAACCCCAGTCTGTTCTCCACCGGGGAGGGGCCCTGGTGGAGTGGAGAGGCTCCAGGTGAAACTAATTGAAAATGGACTCAGAAAAAGCCACATAACAAGCCGGTGCTGGCCTCTTCATGGAAAGCGAGTCTTGATTGCTACCCTCCCAGCCCCCATGAGTTTCATGTGCTGAACGCAGTCAGAGCTCTCTCAGATCCACCCGTTTGCTGGCTTTACGCACATAATCTTTTCTCCACCCCCTCTACCCCTCAATCCCCCAACCCCGCAGCCTCCCCCCCCCCCAGCCCCGGTGCAGAAAGGGCACCACTAAGATCCATCAACCAAATTCTTTACGCATCTGTTCTATGTCAGGTACCATGCTGGATCCAGGACGACTCGGGAAAGCCTTGCCCCAGCAGGGGACGGGGAGGCAAGGCCTCCTAGCACTAGAGGTCTGGGGGTCTAAAAGCCAGTGTACAAAGAGTCAGAGCCCTCCCATTTGCTGGCTTGTTGACCTGGTCAAGTTAATTCTCTTAAGCCCTGGCTCTCTGCTTTAAAAACCTTCTGATTATACCGAGTGGGACAAGCCATGCACATCAGACCCTGGCATACGGCGGGGGCCCCTCCTTCTCACACCCCCAGTCCTGCCTCTTTTTGGATCCTCGGCAGGTTTCCCACTCCCGTGGTGCCGGTAGTTTCACAGTGGAAGGACATGGTGGGCACCGCCTTCTCCCTGGCAATTGTGGGCTACGTCATCAACCTGGCTATGGGCCGGACCCTTGCCAACAAGCATGGCTATGACCTGGATTCTAACCAGGTATCTCCAGCTGCCCCTGGCAGGCGGGGCTCAGGGGTATGGGCCCACAGAAGCCTACCAACGACAGCTTAGGGGGTTGGCAATGTGGCTCCACGGTGGAGTCCTTGCCTAGCATAGGAGAGGAGAGAAAGATGCCTTGGGACTCTGTGCTGGGGTGAGATGGTGAGGGTCAGGGGACTAGACCTAAGAGCCTGAACCCTGGCTGTAACTTTCTTTTTCTTTCTGCGAGGAGTCTTAGAGGATAGTTCACATGTTCATTGTGTGCAAATGTATGTGCAAGTTCATGTACACGTATGTGAGGGCTATATACGGAGGCCAGATGTCTTTCTCCATCACTTCTCAAACATTTTTCTTTTTTAACCGAGTTGCTCGCTGACTGGCTACAGACTAAGCTCTGAGGGTCCGCCTGCCTCCGCCTTCTCAGAACTGTGATCCGTGTTCACTTTTTTTTTTTTAATATGGGTGCTGGGGGCCTGAACCCAGGTCCTCATGCCCACGCCACAAGGGTTTACCTGCTGAACCATCTCCCCAGCCTGAGGCTGACTTTTGAGTGATAGTGTATGGCCATACAGCATCACCATCACTTCCAAACCAAGCCTCAGACCCCCCCCCACACACACAGATGGCTGCCACATCTGACCTCCACTCCCACCAACCCTGCCCTCTCTCCGCAGGAGATGATCGCCCTGGGCTGTAGCAACTTCTTTGGCTCCTTTTTCAAGATCCATGTCATCTGTTGTGCCCTCTCTGTCACACTAGCCGTGGATGGGGCTGGAGGGAAGTCCCAGGTGAGCCTTGTCTCCGAGGACCTGGGTAAGAGTGGGATTGTAGCGACTGTTCCAGAGGATTCCAAGTGCCCCAGGCATGCCATCCGTACCCAGCTGGTTTTCATTCCCTGGGAAACAGTCAGGTCATGACATGTCCATGCACACTCACACAGCTCTTTCTCCAACTAGGTGGCAAGCTTGTGTGTGTCTCTGGTGGTGATGATCACCATGCTGGTCCTGGGGTCCTATCTGTACCCTCTCCCTAAGGTAAGAGCCCAAAGGAGAGCAGGGCACAATGTCAGCCTCCAGCGAGAACAATCCCTACAAGTGGGAGTAGCACCTGATGGGTTGCCACGGTCACACTTGGTGGCAGTTGCTAGGAGGTAAACAGCAGAGCTCTTCTTTTTCCTTGGTACAGGTGAAGGAGACTGAAGTTGACAGCCAAACTTGTCTGGCGAGGCAGCTCACTGTGTAGGATTGGTTTCAACCTCTGGCTTTCTGGGAGTTTGATCCCGAGGCTGGAGGGTAGAGGGCAGGGTATCTGGGAGCACAGGGCGGCCGCACAGCCTCTTGCAAGGATGTAAGGTGCGAGCCATTCAGGGATGCGGCGAGAGGGTAAATGGAAAGGTGGGCCCACAATGAACTGTGTGGCTCAAGAGGCTACCCGTTCCAGTTCTAAGACTGAGCAGAGCTTAGGGAAAGAATCCTGGATATCTCTCTCTCTCTCTCTCTCTCTCTCTCTCTCTCTCTCTCTCTCTCTCTCTCTCTCTCTCTCTCTCTCTCCCCCATCCTGACAGACATCCCCGGTCAGGTGTGTGCAGGAAGGATAAAATGAAGGGGATGCTTCAAATGACACAAAGCAACGTTCTGTTTCTCCAGGCTGTGTTAGGAGCCCTGATAGCTGTCAACCTCAAGAACTCCCTCAAGCAGCTCAGCGACCCCTACTACCTATGGCGGAAGAGTAAGCTGGACTGTGTAAGTGTGCTGAGCTCCTCTAACCCCAAAGCTCTGACCCGATGCAAGGCCCTCTTGTCTGCATCCTCCTAAGCCCCGGGGGCCGAGAAGCCAGGCTTTGGAGAGAGCCATTCTTTGTTCAAGCCACTCTCTGGCTCTGTAGCAAATAGCGAATTCCCTTATCCCTCTGAGCTCCAGCTTCCACACCTGTGAAGTGGGCACATCCAACTTTGGGATGGCTTATGAGGAAGGTAGGATTAGCAAACTGCGTGTGGTCTGAGTTGCATTTGTGATCAGCAAGTAGCTATTATTTTTCTGGTTTACTACCCACACCTCCCCTAATCAAAGGACACAGGCCAGAAATAAATAGATATAAATAAAAAGCATAGAACATAAAGCCAGAAGACCAGCATCCTAGACTTCTCTAGGGTTCTACTTCCTCATCTGTACGTGGGATGGCGCTGTGTTCTGAAGCATACACTGACCCTGGCAATTGGACGAATCACAATGGAAGGCGCCATGCTATGTAAGCATTCTGCCACTGCAATGTCACACTTCAGCTGTACCTGCCCCACGCAGTGCTGATAAGGGCTTCGGTGTATCGACAACGCTCCCTTATTTCCACTTCAGCCCACCCAGAGAAGAGACTAAGCACTATTGAGGATGGCAAAAATCAAGGCTCAGCACAGTAGTTAAGTAAACAAATCAACACAGGCGCTGGAGAAAGCCAGTGCCAGGGGCTGGGTGGAAACTCCCTGCTGGACTCCAGACTCCTGGGCTGTCCTGCCTCTCATAGGCAAAGCCTTGCCAGCACCATGTAGGGAAGGGAATCTTTAAAGTCAGGAAATGTGTGGTCCGTCTGAGGGGCCCAGTGAATGATGGAGAAGGGAAGAAACAAAATGTTCTAATTCCCAGCCCACGCATCTGCTTTTACCACATGGCACCCATCTCCTGGCTATGGCCCTTGTAGCCAGACGGTGCCATGGGACTTGATCTTCGCTGCACATATAATTCGCTGCTATATAATTCCCAGCAGAGGCTGCTGAGGGCCCCTGGAGGACAATGGACATAACCCAGATCCCTGTCCACAGTTTCTGTTCAGGAGCCCCAACATCAATGCACACTCACCTCACTGTTAGGAACAGGCTCACATTCACACCTCACTGTTAGACAGGAAGAGGGTTCACACTTACTTGGGAGCACACTGCAAGGCTAGGACCGATGACCCTCTGACCGTTCAGCCTTCTTGCAGACTGGACCTCATTTTCCCTTCTGTGAACTAGTAAACTGGCTCACACAGCTACACCAGCCCAGAAGACTGCTTGGGTGCGTCTGACCCAAGGGCGAGCCCTTCTTCCTTGGCTCATGCCGTCTCTCCGTGCACACTTTAACATCTATTAAAAGAGAAGGCTAGACTTCTATTTCTAAAACTAGGCCGAGGACTGTGGTGGATGGAGCTCAATGGTAGAACATTTGTCTAGTATGTGAGTCATTCAATCCCCAGCTTCTCTCAGTGTAAGAGAAACAAGCAAGCAAACCAAAGTTTCAGCGTGGTACTCCTTGGGAAAAGGAAGCAAGAACGGAAGGAGAGGCCTGAGTTGGGCAAGCCAACTAGAGCCATGGCTAATCCCAAAAGACTTCCTGAAAGGGGCGGCTTTTCTCCTCAGACTGCCTCTGACATCTCTCTCTTCACAGTGTGTCTGGGTGGTCAGCTTCCTCTCCTCGTTTTTCCTGAGTCTGCCCTACGGTGTAGCAGTGGGTGTCACCTTCTCCATCCTGGTTGTGGTCTTCCAGACCCAGTTGTGAGTACCGGCCTCATCCCTCCCTGGCCCACTGTGGAGTTTCTGGACGAGTCTGCAAGGGGATTCCCATGCCAAGATCTAGCACAGCACACTGTACCTTCTGTCTTCTGGGCCCAGCAGACCTCAGAAGTATATAACCCAGCCAGGACAGTGGGCATAGACTAATCTATCTGACCTCTGTTCCCTAAAACCCCAGAGCAAACCAGCGTTGTTTCAGAGGGTTGGGGATGAGGCGGGCACACAAAGAAGGGTAAGGAGGCCCCCCACCCACCCTTCCACAGGCACTGTGAGAACCTCAGCTCCCCCAGAGAACGCTAGGTCAGAGGGTGGACTCTGATCTTCCTCCAAAAGAAGCCATTAGTGCAGGCCGAGGATGCCACAGAGGAAGGAGGTCAGGGCATGGGCGAGGATGATGCTGAGCATAGGAGAAACCAGGAAATTCTGGATTGTCACCTACCCCTCCCTTCTTCCCCCTAAGGCCCAGTCTGGTGGCTACAACAACATATGCTTAGTTATAGACCAGCCACAGGCCACCGGCCACAGGTCCCCAGAACAAAAAGACTAACCGACGCGCCTGGATAAGCACAGGAGTCCTGGCTGATTTTCCTTGCCCCGCCCCCTACCCCAGCATCACTCCACGCTGCTAGCATCCTTACTCTCCACCCTCCCCCTTCTCCCTCTAGTCGAAACGGCTCCACACTGGCCCGGGTCATGGACACGGACATCTATGTGAACCCCAAGACCTACAACAGGGTACGCGATCCAAGCTTAGGACCTCTCTGCTTCGCCCTGCCCCCTCCCCAAGACCTTTCTGCGACCTGAGCTCAGTCTCCCTGTCACAGGTCCAGGAAATTGAGGGGGTTAAGATGGTCACTTACTGCTCCCCTCTCTACTTTGCCAACTCCGAGATCTTCAGGCAAAAAGTCATTGCCAAGGTAAGGCTCCACCCTTGCTGAGCAGCAGGCGGAAGTAGAAAGAGGCTAGGGGCAGGCCATCCCACAGGGGTAGAGATCAAGGTTGCTGTTGGCCCTCTCCCCACAGACAGGTATGGACCCCCAGAAAATATTACTCGCCAAGCAGAAATATCTCCGGAAGCAAGAGAAGAGGACGGTGATGCCCACACAGCAGAGGAAGTCCCTCTTCATGAAAACCAAGGTGAACGAACTGAGGCCAGGGTCACCTCCAGGACCATTTTGACCTTGACCCAGGTTCCCAGCCTGCATGCAGCCCATTGAGAGGCAGGCAGGGAGCCTCTGAGAGCACTTGCTGGACATCTTCTAGGGGAAGGCAGCTGCCGCCAGGGTTACCACTGTACCTATCTCCAGCGGGAATTTCCTAGGCGCCCAGGCTGTGTGAGGATGGAAGGTGAAAAAAGCAGGCGGGCGTGGACAGGCGGGCATGGAGTCCCGCTGTCTCTAGAGGGGCTTCCTCTCAAGCACAGTGGCTTCTCTGGAAAGTTCTTCCCACTTGGGTTGGGAGGGAGAAGCTGGCAGGCCTCCCATAGGAAGGGGCTTTAGGGGACGCCTGTATTGACTGACTACCAAGCTGGGATATATGACCTGCCTCTGCTTGGGGTCCCATGCCACAGTCCTGACTGTCCCCTTCCCACCCACAGACAGTCTCTCTGCAGGAACTCCAACAGGACTTTGAAAATGGTCCCTCAACTGACCCCAACAACAACCAAGCTCCTGCCGGTGACTCCAACATATCCTACATCACCTTCAGCCCGGACACCTCAGCGGCTGCCCCGTGTGAGCTGCCCACCTCCGCTCAGTCCCCCGGGGAGCCTAGTGACACTCTGGCCAGTGTCCCACCTTTTGTCACCTTCCACACGCTCATCCTCGACATGAGTGGGGTCAGCTTTGTGGACTTAATGGGCGTCAAAGCCCTAGCCAAGGTGAGGCCTGCTCACCTCCCTCATTTGAACTAGCTGAGGGAGGCCCCGGACCCTAGGGACTCCTTGCTCCAGATACAAACAGGGCAGATACACTCTTCAGGGCAATGAGTGTCGGAGCAAGCTCCCGAGCTTCAGCCCACTGGCCAAGGCTGTCCTGAGTTCTTTTTCAAGGTATCAGGTCCCCAGACCCCACCTTGGATCCTCTGAGTGAAGCCAGTTTGGCCCGTAGTTCTGTTGCCCTTCCTACACCAGCCAAGCCTGGAGAGAGGAAAACTCACACACCGGTGTGTCCCAAACAGGCAGCCTGCAAATGCCATGGATAGAAGGACCCATCCGATCACTTTTCAGGGGCCCTGAAATGTCAGTGCATCCTGACTGACGTCACTACCAGCCAGGGACAGCAAAGGCCCCCTTCCCCGGTGTGAGCTCATCTGGCTTCTCCAGGCTGGACCTAGGTCCCCCGATTTCACTGACTCGCCTCACTGAGCCTTGGTCCTGAGCACTGTAAAAAGGGCCATGGTAACTAAGTGTCTGCCACACCGGCAAAGCCCCATTTCCGCCCCACTTTGCAGAGAGGCCTTGGGCCAACACTCCAGAGGGACGTGGAGTACTCCTTGCCACTCATGCCTGTGGCTGCCAGGGCCCTCAGGATTGCTTATTTGTTTACCTTCCTCTCTGAAGTGTGTTTCATGAACCACTCAGAACATTCCTTTCCTTTCTTTTCTCCCCGATTCCTTCCCCTCCCTCGCCTCCCCAACCCCTCTAGCTAAGTTCCACCTATGGGAAGATCGGAGTCCAGATCTTTCTGGTGAACATCCACGGTAAGAAACGTAGGGGTTGGGCGGGCATTTAGGGGAGCGGAGGCTGGAGAAGGGTTGCAGTGAGGATAGGTTGCAGAGCGTCCTGGGCGAGGGGTACGCTCATGCACTTGAGAGAAGACAGGATTATAGTCTGCTCACCACTAATTTGTGTGTCCTGACTTGAGTCACCCAAGTCACCTTACTGTCTGGGGTCCACCTCCACCCACGGAAATTGGAGGGTTGGCTGGTTGAGCTTGGAATCCTTTGCAAATCGGGAGATCCATGGATCTGTAGACACAACTTCTCAGGGACTTGTCTCCAAACAGTGCTCCAGACAGGCAGCCCCAAGGCCATGCCTCAGAGCATGCATTTTCACGTATGCCAAGTACAGACAGCACACAGGGACGCAAGAGAAATGCAAAGGGGATGGATGCACATGTGTCCAGATGCCACCCAGCAGGACTCTGCAAGGGCCCCATAATGAGCCTGTTCATTGCCCTCACCCTCCATCAACACTGCCAGAAAAACCACCTCCAGAATGTGCTATCTTGGCCTGTCCTTGACAAGCAACTGCTTCTCAAATCCAAAGGCTTCCTTCTGCCCTGGGTGGAGGGCTCAGCATTTTCAAGATCATACTGCCCTCTGCTGTCCAGAACTGATATTGCAGGGCCAGTTGTCAGGTTCCCCAACCCTCCCCCGCCCAGCCCCAATCTGGTCCCTTTTCCTCACACTCCTGCCGCCTTCCAGCCCAGGTGTACAATGACATCAGCCACGGGGGTGTCTTTGAAGATGGGTGTGTCCAGCGCAATCACGTGTTCCCCAGCATCCATGATGCAGTCCTCTTTGCCCAGGCGAGCAGGAGAGGAGCCCCAGCATGCAGCTTCCAAGGGGTAAGGTCTCCTCCACGCCTGAAGACTCCTAGGCTCCAGCACTCACAAACAGACCTCACTCGCTTGGATCTCTGTCTCCCTATCTGTAGAATGGGCACCACCAACCATTGCCCTTCGCTGTTTTATAGTAGTGGTGGGTGCCCTGGCTTGGCGATTTCAGGCTGAGATGGATGGAGAGGGCATCCTTGACCTACTAGCTCAGTGAGCGCTATGGAGGAAGATACAAACAACTGTCTAAAACTTCAGAAGCTGAAGAGCCAGACCCAGCCCCTGTCACTGGCAGGTCCTGGGAGACTAGAGGAGCGTTCTGACTCATGGGCCTTGTCTACCGCGACTCCCGGAAAATCCTTGTATTTGTCATTGCATCAATAGCATCCAGTCGTGTGGGTCCTGGGGATCGGCTTGGTGACACATGCCTTTACCCACTGATCCTTCTCCCCCATCCTTGTTTTAATATCTATAAGTAATTTGTATTACATATATTCTCTATTACCTCTTATAAATTACAAACACACACACACAATGCATGCACACTCCTTAAAACAGTTCAGTGAGAAACCCAGAAAAGGAAGTCTGATTATCCTGTCTGCAGAATTCCACAGAAAGCAAAGGAATTCCAAGGTCAGGCAACCCGTGCCTCCCTGTCTAGAACACCCACAGGGGAGGCCAGGCCCTATGGGCATATGCCTACAGTTGTGCTGTATCGTGAGGCCGGTTGGGGAGGGGGGGAGGCAGGTGTGCTATATCATGTTTCCCAGAGAGGAAAACATGGGGTCCTCTCCAATATCCTCCCTTCCGCCATATACCTACCTGTGGTACCCAAACTCACCCGGTACCCACTCCCTTCCCTTCAGGCTCCAGAAGATGCTGAGTTCTCCATGTATGATTCAGAAGAGGACAGTCCCAGCTACTGGGACTTAGAGCAGGTGAGTGGGGGGGGGGCAAAGAGTGAGGGAGGAGAGGGAAGAGGACCTGCTTCTATGTAAAGTGTTTGCTGGCTGCGTCCTCCCATTCAGAGCAGTAACCTGGACGGTGGCAAAGTCACCTTCCTTTTAATGATAGATCTTGAGTCTTCTCAGCATCAGCATGAACACACAGGCACACACACACTCATGCACACAACACAGGCACACACACACTTGTGCACACACACATGAACACTCACACACACACCACACATACTCATACACACACTCATACACACATGCACACATACACACGCACATACATACACACACATACACATATTCATATACACACACTCATACACTCATTCATACACACACACACACACACACACACACACTCATACACACACAAGGCATCCTGTAGAATGAGAGAGCTTCTGGACCAAGTCTTAGAGAACTGCTATGTATTCTTAACTCTCCGGTGTGCCAACTCTGAGATTGTGGTCAAGACACGTGACATCACTGTGCTTGATGATGCTACCTGTAAAATATGAGACCTTCAGTTAATCTGAGGTGTTTATGGAACACCTACTCCCTGTCTGACCCTGTTGCAGACAGGCATAGATAGGGCAGTGTCCAGAGGCCCCTGTTCTTTGGAAACTGCATTCTGGGAGAACGGATGAAGGTTAGAGGCATAAATGAATTATTATTGCAACTGGCTAAGCATTTCAAACAAAAGCTATGCAATACACTCTGCCACTGCCTGTTTGGGGCCTGTGCAATGTATCACCATTCCAGGGCCCTGGATTAAAAGAAAGCAAATGACTAAGTTTAGAGAAAACTGGATTTCAGTCTGCTAAAAATAGCATCTCTCGTCCCATCCCACGGTCCTCCGTGTGTCACTCAGTGCGCAGATGGCAAGCAAGGGACACCTGAGATTTAACAGGCTACTTTCTGTGCCCCCTTGGAATCTCCAGCACACTAAAAATAAAATAAAATAAAATACCCTGGATGGGACAGAAATAATACGGCTTCTCTAGTCTTGACATGGTGCTACCTAGTGAGGAGGAAAAGAGGAGCTGACGCTCAGAGAGGAAAGTGTAAAACGAACAAACAAACACACAAAGCACACAACACAATTCATGATTAGATGCTACCAGCACTTTCTCCAGTACCAGTTCATGTCTTATGCCAGCCCCCTCTCCCCTGCTCACTCAGGATGCTTCATTCTGGCCTGTGGTGCTTAGTGACCTCTTGGTTGCAGCCGCTCTGACTCTGGCAGGTGTAATACTGTCTTGCTCTCATCCTTCTTTCCCGTGGCCTCTGCAGGAGATGTTCGGGAGCATGTTTCACACAGAGACCCTGACCGCCCTGTGAAGGCCCATTTGGCTCCCACTCTTCCTCCTGAGCACCTGGGATTTCCACGGACAATAAGCCCAGGCCCACAGAAAGGGACAGAGGGAAGAGTATGTCCCTCCACCAAGGCTCTAGATCCTTGTCTTCTCTCCTGCCTTTCCCTCCCTCCCTGTGTCCCTGGGAGAGAGCTGCCTCAGGCTCTGCAGGCAGAAGAGCCTGTCCTGGCAAGGACTGACAAGGACGAGAGTTTGGTGAAGCCACCCCATCACACACCCCCTTCCCATTGGAGCCTGGGCCAGCAACAAGCTCCATCTGCCCATCTACCCTCGCCCCGCCCATGGCAGGTTGACTTGCAGTGTTCAGAGAGCACCAACAGCAGAAAGATATGGGTGACTGAGCTGCATGAGCGCAGCTCACACCGGTCTGTGGCCACCGAGGGTTCAGGCTGTGGTGGGACACAGGGATGAACTGGGTTAGAATGCTGAAGCTTGTCCCTCCAATGGCCTTATAGTTGTCAGATTTGTGCCTCAAAGACACGGTACTGTCCCCAATCCCGGACTCTGCGCCCATTTCTGTCATTGCTGTCCAGCCCTTCAGACTCTAGTGCGGGCAGTGGGCAGGACCCGCATGACTGTGACCACTACCTCTCCAGGGACAACCCACCAAGGAGCTGATTTGGCCTCTTGAATCATCCCTGCCTGGATACTGTCCCATTCTGGGGAACAGGTGACCAACAGAGTCCTCCAACGAAACAGCAGCAGCTAATTATGCACAAAACTCTTTCGAGAATCCCTCCTTGCACTAGAGACATGGAAAGGGGAATAGGGTACTAGTTCAAACTCGGGACAAACTGGGGGACCCCGGGCCTGACAGTCCACCTGACCCCAGAGCCAGTATCGCCTCCCCCTTGGGAAGTCTGCCATGTCCATGCTCACTTGGAAAGAGCCAGGCATTTGAACTCTCCTTTCTCAGCCTGCAGCCAGAGCTGTGGTGGGACGCCCAGACAGGCAGATGAGGAAGTCCTGAAGCGCTAGCTTCAGCACCCAACTGGCTACAGATGTGAAGGACTGGATCTCCAGGGAACTCTTAACCATCTCAGGGTCTTTTACCCCAGGAAAAATGAAAATAGGAATTAAATCCTCGTGAAAACAGGGAGGTAACTAGATACATCCCACTGTGGACTTGAAAATAGGTTCTCTTGCCGGGCAGTGGTGGTGCAGGCCTTTAGTCCCAGCACTCGGGAGCCAGAGGCAGGTGGATCTCTGTGAGTTCGAGGCCAGCCTGGTCTATACAGCGAGTTCCAGGACAGGCTCCAAAGCCACAGAGAAACCCTGTCTTGAAAAACCCAAAAAAAGAAAAAAAGAAAAGAAAATAGGTTTTCTCTCTGTCTCCTCTCTCTCTCTCTCTCTCTCTCTGTCACACACACACACACACACACACACACACACACACACACACACACATCTTGTATTGTAAAACTACCATACAAGTACACGGAAATCTGGCCTCTCCTCCTTGTTGTTCAAGTTCCTTAGTAATGACCCTTGTGCCAACAGGCTGGGCCGGACCAACCTGGGAAAGCATCCCACTTACTAACTTGAGCCTGACCTTTGTGATGTGTCCATGTGTTAAGTAAGCTAGCAAGCTAGCATGTATCCTCTCTACAGTTAAAGCACAGGGCCCTGGCAAGCAGCCAGCACATTCTTGGCGGTGGCTGTTGCTTCTCAGCGAATCTATTATGCCATCTGGCTGCCAATGAAGCCCAAACCTTGGAAGGCTGAAAAGACAATGTTATCTGGGGTTCACTGGGCCCAGCACTCAAAGTGCCAAATTCCAGGAGGAAGAGAACCCCAGCCAATGACAACTTACCCTCCTCTACTCCACCTCCTTCAAAGTCCAAGACCTACGGGAAGGTCACAGAGTCCCCGGACATCATAAGTCCCTTTGAACCAACTGTCTAGATCCCATTAACCTGCAGGTCAGGCCCGGAACTCAAAGGGATTGCTGACTCACGGTGGCCTGGGGCTTGGCTTGCTTGGGAAGGGGGCAAGCATCTGCAGCATGTGAAGTGCGTCCACACTCACAGAGCACATGGTGGAGGCGTCATTAGAACACAGGGGCAGGGGGGTGGGGATCGTCACAGCTGCAGCTCTAGGAAAGAGTGGACAGGTCACACAGGCTGAGGAAGGAAGGGAGGGAGTAAGGGAACAGAGTAAGCCAGACTTTCGTAGCTGTGATGTCCCTGCAGACACTGACCGCCCCGGGAGGGCTGCAAACCTTACCTCTTGAGATGTTTGTATAATTTATTTAAATGCCGGTTCCTTTGTTTGTTTTGGTAATAAAGTGGTCTTGAAATGTGACCGTGTGTGTGTGTGTGTGGTGAAGTGGCTTTAAAGAGTGACAAGAAGATCCCTCCAAAACAACTGGCTTTTGCTCTGTGTCACCCTGAGCAGAGGCCGTCCACCATGGGTCTCCTTAGAAAGCCCCCAGATCTGTTTGCCCACTCCTTGCCGTGAAGGCATTTGCACGAGCCAGCCAGAGAGCAGTTTGGAGCGCGGAGACCGGGCAGAGGGCTGCTTACTCTGTTCTGACAGCCAACTCGGTGCTTCTGTAAGTTCCAGGGAAGTCAAACAGTTCGGTGTAATGGTGCACACCTGTAATCCCAGTACTTGGGAGATAGAGGCAAGAGGATCGAGAGTTCTAGGCCATCCTTGGCCACACAGTGAGTTTGAGGCCAGCCTCGGCTGCATGGGACTCTAACACCACACCCCCTCCACACACACAAAGTCAAGCTCTCCCCATACCTTCTGCCCACCCTGCCCTCATGACTTCTTCCCCATTTGTGAAATACTATTAGAGACCTGTACCGCCACAACCCAGCAAAGCTTTTATGGGGGATGTGATCTAATCCCGCTGTTCCCTCCCAAATGCCAGGTATTACAAAGGTAGCAGGACTTCAGTCCAACAAGCCAGACTGACTCCGAACTTCGTTTACTAACAGCGGTGGGGGGGGGGGGGTTAACAAAAATCTATGGAGGCCTCCTCTGGTATGTCATAGTAATTGTCTTGTTCTATTGGGATCCGGATCTGGGATGAAGAGGGGCCGATGAGACCCAGAAGTCTCCCATCCAGAGCAAAAAGTGAGACACCACACTGCCAGCCGGATTGTTAGAATACTAGGAGCCGAGTTGGAAATTGGTCAGGCCCACGATCGATGGTGGCCACAGCATCATGCTTTGTTTTTGTTTCTGACTAGTCTCCTTTGGGTGTGTGACCTTCCCATGTTCTGTATTTACTGGTGTTAGTTTTGCTGTCTTTGCTGCTACCCGTCACCACTGATCACACTTGCCATGGCTGCTTCAGTGGTAAGGGCTCAGAATTTCTTATCTCTGGGCTTTCCTGGTCACTGGATTCGGTTTAGCGGGGATTCAAATATCTCTTGAGTGTGATAATATTAAAGTTTTCATGCTGTTGTACATTTTGACTCTGGAGCTGGGTTATGACTCTCCCTTTTCTAGACCTTATTTATGCATATTTAAAGTTTCCTTTCTGTCCTATGCCAGAAAAATCACCTGATTTTGTGTCAGGGCAAAGAAAGCAAAGCAAAACAGCCCCCCCACACACACACACCAAAATTACATTACGGGTTTCATTTTAACTATCTAAAACTTATACTAAGATATAAAACTTGTCTCAAGTTTTGTAAGACTGTTATGAGAACTTTCTGTACCTCAAAATTTGTAAGTTTATTGGGTATGGTTAAAATATGTAAAATCTATAAGAAAAAAAAGTTAGCTTAAAACTCATAACACATGGAGGTTGATAGTTAAAAGTCTATATAGATAATCTTAAAGGAACCCGAGACGTAGGCAACGTGTGCATCCTAGCGGTGACCCCCACGAGAACGGAGGCAAATGGGTAAAGCTTGAGACCCTGTGTAGCAGGGCTGAAGTCCCTAAAGACAGCCCGGGAGGGACAGTGGCAAAAATTCAGCCCAGTTGCAATGGGGACTTCAGCCATTTAGGAAATGCCATATGAATAACAGTCACAATGAAATGGAGCCAGCTGAAGCCTAGAAGACAAGCTGTGCGTGTCACCATGGTAGAGCTGGAGAGGTGAGCTACGCCCCACGGAGAAGCCTAGAGTGTCAGGAGTAAAGCCCACACACACACTGAGCATGGCATTGCTTGCACTGTTGGGGTTTGGTCTAGCCTTGTCTAGATTGTAGCTGTGCCCAGTTTCTGCCTTCTTGAGGTAAAATAGGTACTTAATTTATTTTTTGATATTGCAGAAGCCCACAGTTGAAAGATTTTAACCTTTTAAAAAAAAGTTGGCGTTTTACAAAGGATTTAAAGTTTTTTTAGAAACTGTATTTAAAAAAAAATAAAACCGCTTAAAACATGAGTCATTTTAAGTTCATAAAATATTTTATATTATGATGTCTTTATTAATATGTGATCTTAAAAAACATAAATAACTAGACGGCTAAAGACTTAGGGCCACAGCTAATGAGCACCAAACACTAAACACCAGAAACTGGGATGGATAGTCCCATCTTATTAATGCAGCAACACAATGACCTAAGCAGTCTGGCAAAGAGTCTATTGTAGTGATCTTTTTTTTTTAATTCTTTACTCTTTTGGCTTTTTGAGGGGCCCATCTAATAATCAAAAGCCCCCCACAACCCACTCTTAGAATGTGGACATTATACATACATACATACATATACATATTTTACTTTAAGTATACGAGTATTCTATTTACATGTACACTTACACACCAGAAGGGGGCATCAGATCCCACTATAGATGCTTGTGAGCCACGATGTGGTTGCTGGGAATTGAACTCAGGACCTCTGGAAGAGCAGATGGTGCTCCTAACCACTTAGCCACCTCTCCAGCACCCACGGACATTGTTTTCTATTGACTGCTTCCTGCTGAATGTGGGCAAAGTTCATTAAGATCCCAGGTGGAAAAGTTTTAGATGAAATCCATAGCCTGGAAAGTCCAGCTATAATATTTGATAGATATCACCTGTCAAGTTTCAGGCAGTCTTCCTTGATCAAACCAGATCCATGTCAACCTGGAATGAATCCACAGCCTTTTGTTTGGAGCAAAATCACTTCTCCAAAGCATTGATTTCCATTTGACAAATACATTTTTTGGGTTTTTTATTTTTTTTAAAGTTAAGGCATTCTTCAAATATGTAGGCTGATTTATTTCCACAGTCCCTCTTTCAACTCCAGGTCCCTTAGCAGCTGTGCTTTGCTTTTCAGCAATCAAAACATTCAAAATCAACACATTACTATACAGGATCCAGACCCCCTGTGTGTTTCCCATCTTCCCGTGGCTTTTTTCTTTCACTGTCTCTTTAAAGACCATTTTCGTTTTTAACCTATTTATTTCTCTCTATACCCTTTCGTTTCTTTCTTAAGCCTACAAGCATTGTAAAACACACCGGAGCCTGTTTGGAGGTTCCCCATCTATTTTCACCACAGGAGCAAACTTTAAACTGTTAAGCTACTACATCTGAATCTTCCCTTGGCTCTCTTGACTGACTCCGCCCACCCTCGGCCAGGTGGTGAAAGCCAAGCACAAACCTTGCAGCCAGGTCGTAGGTTCACAACGGAGAACTGCATTAAACCTTTCTAGTTATGGACACCTGAGTCGTTGCAAGTGGTTTTTATTAGCTTTTTTTTTTTTTTTTTTTTTTTTTTTTTTTTTAATTTAACTCTGCTAGCTGAAGAACAGCACCTCTTAAAGGAGTCGTGTCTTTTTTCCAGCTTTCTCGGGCTCTACATGGATAGCTGAGCCCCACATTGGGCACCAATTTGTTTTATTATTTTTTTTTTTAATTGTTGCTGCCTTTTAAGCTACAGCTGTCCTATTCAGCAGCTGCTACTCCATTGGTACCAGCAGCGGCTAGGCCTCAGGAGCTGAAGCCTGAGGCACCGACTCTTTGAAAGCTACTAAGAAACCGTATTTAATTAAATCTCTGTCCTGCTAAAGAAATCAAGATGCAAAGGTTGAGGTTGAAGCCTGCTTCCCAGAAAGGCTGCATAGCAAGCAGCTCATCTCTTCGCGCCTTCCAAGAAGTCCTCATGCGTTTGTATCCAGCGACCTTATAAACCTTCACCAACTGGCTCCTCCCTACAACTTCCTGTCATCTACTTGATGACCCAGCCTCCTGACCACAGGTGAATTTTATTTAACCAATTGCATCTTTGTATGGTTAAAGAAACATTCCAGAGAATAAACAGAAGTAACACACCTTAAAATAATTTTCTACAGCAGCCTATAGACTGTCTCTCCTGACCTTAGGTTTAATCAGGCTAACAGAGACTGACTTAATGTTCTAGCTTCCTTGTCTTTTCTAACCCTGTTAAGCTTTAGCTATTTTGATAAACCGAGTCACACAAGAAACTGTGATATTGTGTAATGGTGCACCATGGAATACCAGGAAAGTAAAGTTGCCAGTCTCTCTATGGTCTGTATTTATGGTTTAAAGTTTTATTTTGATATGAAAAGAGCATCCATTCAAAAACTGTTATTTTTTTTTAAAGGCTAACACTAACAGGGATTACAAAGCCTGATCTTGTAAAAGCTACTAATTTACTGTGAACTAGTAAAGACAATTAATACACATGCAAGGTAATAGTTACCTTATAAATGATCAAATTCTTTAATGTGTTCTCATGCTAAGAAGTAATGCATTTTATTTATAGGAATTAGCTTTATTTAGCTTCCTGTATATTTTTTCAAGGTTAAGCCTAAAGCAAATAACTAAAGACCAGTGAAGTTTGTTTAAAATAGTTATAGTAGATAGTAGATAGTTTAAAATAGTAGATAATGGTCCTCAAACTCTTCAGAGATCTGCTGAATACGGCGTCTAAAATGTTTAATGGAAGAAGCTTCCTGTGACAGACAGACAGACAGACACGCCAGTTCCTGGAGACAACCCTAAGGTCTCCAAAGAAGACAGATGGGTCACAAACTTGGATCCTGATGACACTAACCATGGGAAATGCTGGCCCATGCGCTCCTTGCTTCCTGCACAAACTGTGAACACTGTTGGGTTGACTCTCCTACCCTGCCTGTGTCAAAGTAGGCTACTTTTCATGAGTTCCTCATCCACAGGAAACTCTCAGACCTTCTGGGTCTGATAGGTGAAGATCTATGTTGCCCTGTGCAGCAGTTGAAGACAAAAAAAAAAAAAAAAAAAAAAAAAAAAAAAAAAAAGAAAGAAAGAAAAAAGAAAAAAAAAAAAAAAAAAAGAATGCTGTCCTGGGTGACAACCCAAGACCTCTGACCTCTGACCTCTGCCCTGCAATGAAGACATCAACACTACAGGAACCTAGTAGGATAATTTAGTTAGCTGATAAGCCTCTGCCTTTTTAATGGACACAGACACAGAGGCCATTTGGTTTATACTTCTTGCTATAATTTATCCTTCTCAGATTTCTGAGGGTGTTGAAACTAATTAGCTTTTATCAATTTGGAAGCAAGAGGCACCTAACACCTCCCCCGGTGTTGGAGCGGCTTGGTCAATGCATTTCATGTATGAGAATAGACCTTGATTTTCTAGAGCTATTAGGTCCCTGATGAAAAAGGCAAACTCATAGACAGATTCACCTTCGGATGTAACTTTTTATTGCTCCTTAATTTAAAAGAGCTTATTCTGAAATAACTGCCCTCAGTAATCAACCACAAGTGTCTAATGGCAAATAATTGGATTTTGGAAAAAGGTTTGCTGTGGAATAGTTCTTCTGTACACTGTGAGGAGGTGTTGCTGTCATTACTAATAAAAAGCTCATTGGCCGATAGCTAGGCAAGATTTTCAGGGCAGGAAGGAGGGCAGAGTTGGAGGAGATTCAGAAGCAGCAACACGGGAAGTTCATAGATGAGGTAAACAGAGCCTGTGGGCATCACATAGATGAGTAGAAATGGGTTCATTTAAGTTGTAAGAATTGTAGTAAGGAAAGGAGCGTAAGACTGGTACAACAGGTCAACAGGACAGGATGGACATCCAGCTCCAAACCCACAAAGCCACAACCCTCTGACTTTTGGCAGAGTGAGAGAAAAAACAAAACACACTGGAGAAAAGCCAATCATTTTAGCAGTGCCGGGAAAATTGGATACCTACATGTAGAAGACTCAAACTAGATCCTTCTCTCTCAACCTGCACAGAAGGCAACTCCAAATATATCAAAGATGTTAGTGTAAAACCTGAGACTCAAACAAAACAAAACAAACCCTGAAACTTTGATAAAGAAAAAAAAAGGGGGGGGGAGAAATGCTTCAAGATATGGGCATGGTAAGGACTTTCTGAATAGAACCTTACTTGCCCAGGTGTGACAGTGCAGACATTTCTCCATCTTGTGTTCTTGCTGAGGCCATTTCGGGCTTGACTAGAATTTTATCTCCTTTCAGAGAATCCCAAAGAAAATTATCCAACTCTATTCTCTATTCTAGGAGCCCGGGGTCAAGATGTCCCAGCTAACTTACCTTAGCTTCTGTCAAACTGTTTGTGCATGGGAAACTTCCATTCCTCCCCCGAACCTCCCTATAGATGCCAGGACTTGGTTTCTGCCTTCAGAAACCCTGTGCTCTGGACATGCTGTGCTACCTGAATGCCTAAGTGTATCCTGGCCAGCTGGAATAGACACTTTCAACTGTCTATATACTGTGTCTGAGTGTGGTCATCTCTAGTGGGCTTTCTCATAACACATGAAATAGAGCAAAAAAAAAAAAAATGGAAAATGGACTCTCATGAAATTAAATTGAATTTCTGTACAGCAGAGGAAATACTTAATGGGATGAAGAGACAGTCTTTAGAAAGAGAGAAATTATTTGCCAGATGTCCATCTGACAGAGGATTAGTACCTGAAATACACAGAGAACTCAAAAGAACTGAGCGATAAAGGACTAGCGAGATGGCAGAACAGGTAAAGTCCTTGCCACACAAGCATGAGGGTCAGATTTGGATGCCCAGCACTCACATAAATGGTGGGGTTGGCCATTGCGGCCCCACCCACCTGCAGCCCCAGTGCTGCAGAGATTGACACTTCTGGAGCAAGTTGGCCAGCTAGACTAGCCAAATCAGTGAGCTCTGGGTTCAAACTAGAGACTTCATCTCAATATGTAAGGTGGAAGTGATAGAGTGATAGAGGAACATACCTGGTGTCAACCTCTGGTCTACACACACACACACACACACACACACTCACACACACTCACACTCCACACACACACACACATGCACACATGCACATACACACACGCACTCACACTCTCACACACACACTCACATACACACACTCTCACACACACTCACACTCCACACACACACACTCACATACACACACACTCACACACACACTCACACCCCACACACACAAACACACACTCACACATACATGCACACACACTCACACACACACATGCACACACACACACTCACACCCCACACACACTCACACACATACTCACACATACATACTCACACCCCACACACACATACACACACTCACACACACTCACACACAGACACACATACAGACACTCACACTCACATACACACACACTCTCACACACACATACACACTCACACATACACACACCTCACACACACTCACACACACACACACACTCACACATACATACTCACACCCCACACACACACTCACTCACACTCACACACACACCACACACACATACACACACACACTCTCTCTCACACTCACATGCATATACACAGCAATAAAACTGAGTAATAAAGAAAACAAATCATCCCATCAATGAATGGGCTAATGAAATGAATAGACAGTTCACAAAGGAGAAAATATAAATGGCCCATTATCTTTTGTTTTTATTTTGTTTGTTTGTTTGGGTTTTTTTTTTTTGTTTGTTTGTTTTTCTGAGACAGGGTTTCTATGTATTGTTTTGGAAACTGTCCTGGAACTCCATCTGTAGACCAGGCTGGCCTCAGACTCACAGAGATCCACCTGCCTCGGCCTCTCGAGTGCTGGGACTAAAGGTGTGCGCCACCAATGCCCAACCATTTTAAGTTTTAATTACTATGCCTTAGAGATAGTTCCTGAAATGCCGGAGGCTATTATTTATGGGAGATGACGAGCCACATGTTTTCACTCCCCCAAACAAGTTTGTTTGATCCGTCTGCACTGGATGTGCTTGGTCACCTGTGGGTGGGAGGTTCAAAGGTCAGAAGTGCTGTCAGGATATATGTTTGCCCCTGATTGGATCTGAGGGAAAATACAATGAATTACGGGTTTTCCTTCTTAAGCCCTGGTCACTCTTGGTTCTGGGCCACTGCCTGGGTACTTGGGTATGAACCTGACCAGAACCCATCTGCCTGGCCAGTGTTTAATGAAAACTTGCATCAGATTTGGTGGCTTTGAATTGTGGTAGTGATCTTATTCTTGATCAGTGGGATTAATGCTGGAAGTATTCATAGTGAGCAAATTAAGCCAATATCAGAAACATATGTATATGTATGTGTATATATATATGTATGTATGTATGTGTGTGTGTATGTATGTATATCTACATTTGTGGTTCCTACATTTCATATGGTCTCATAAAATGTATGCATGGACTAAATGAAAGAACTGAGATGGTCTCGGGAAACGGTGGGGACCAATGGGACAGAGAAACAATAAAGGAAAATGGGGGGTAGACAGTAATGGAGAGGAGATGTTTATGTGCAAAATACAATGCACACCTGTAAGAAATGTGTTTATAAAGTTGAAGGTAAGAGCTGGGGGAAGCGATGTGTGCTATGGAATGCTGTCTTTCCGGCATGGCACAGCCTTTGCACTCTTGAACCGCCCAGCAGATGCAGATTGCCCACGCGGAACTGGGCTACACAACATTCTGTGATGTCAGGGGAAGAGGTTCCCGCAGGCTCCCCACTTCCTGAGAATTTATAAGCAGTCAATGTTGCTTGGAAAGGGACAGACATTTTCTTCACGGGGATAGTCACTGCCAGGTTGCCCATGACCTTAAGTAGCCCTCATTAAACTCATTGGATCACACACAGACACACACCAGAGGCAGATTAGTTTGGACAATAACAAGGTGATCAGGAGGTGTGAGGAAGACAGAGGTTGGGAATACATTTTATTAAAATGTGTATAAAGTATCATAATGAAACCTGTCTCGTGCTATCTAGGAAGTCAGGAGTGGGTTTCGTTTCGTTTGGTTGGGTCCTGTCAATTAAGAATTAAAAGGAAGGAAAATTACCAGAAAATTTTCCAAGTCCCAGCAGAGCCTTCATACCTGGGCAACTGAGCCTCCTCTTGGAGCTCTTGATGTCACTAATAAAAGAATTTAAGAGCCGTCGCATACAGAAGCAGGCTAGCTTAAATCTGAAAACTGTGGGAAGGGACCTGTTGCACCGAAATTAACCCTTGAAGCAGATTCCATTCTTCGCGCATTATTGTGTACAGTTATGCTAAGAAAAGTTTCAAAACAGTTCCAGCAAAATTCCTAAACAGGAGCAAACTGTCCTGAGCTGGTATGCCTAAGCGCTGTTAACAGCCTTTTTGTTGCAGTTTTAGATGAAATTAAAGCCAAAATCCACCGAGCTCCTGCACAGAGCCTAGGGACGAGGAGTCAAAAATCTAAATCTCAACAGACTCCAGAAGGAGACTGAGATCTAATAACCTTGATGTACATACCCACCTGACTGGTTTGCTCTCATACAGCAAGAGATTCACAGAATCTCCAAGCAGAAGGTGTACAAGCCAGACAAGCCCTCACCTTTGCCTGCAGCGCGGTATTATTGCTTCACAGCTTGCTTCCCGACGCTGCTCCCGCCTACCGTGGGAAACCACGCACCCCTAGAGGCCATGCGGGCAGGGTCGCTCTGTTGATTGGCGGTCTGCCGTCCGGGACAAGCGATGATTGGTCAGCGGAGAGTCAGGCTTTGCGCTTTTAGGTCCAAACTCCGACCCCGCTGGCTGCGCCTGGGCAGAGAGACATGGCTGGGCCGGGCATTAGCACGCAAGCCTTGGCGGCTGCAACCCTGCTTTTTCTAGCCACCGCCTCTGGATCTACGGACCCTGGGAGCGGGAAAAGCTGGGGGTCGTCGCGGATCCCTCCCCAGTTCGACGAGGAGGAGCGCGTCGCTCTTAAGGAGGCTCTGAAAGGTGAACCTCCGCCCCCTTGTGCTCGGGTGCCTCAGTCCGCAGCCAGCCCGGGTCTGTCTGTCTGTCTCCCTTTGCGACAGGCTCGCTGCTCAGGCTCCAGTTCCACCCGCCACACTGGGCCAGCGTTCCCACTCACGCCCCGGCACTCGGGGCACAGTTCTAGCTCGCCCGTCGCGTCTGTGTCCCCTTGCCTAGCCTGGAGGCTCCAGCTCCTCTCTCGCCATAGGCCGCATCTCCCATACCCCTACCTACCTCCAATAAGTGTTTGTGGCACTTTGAACCTCTCAAAGGGTTCATGGCTGTTAAATCTCCGCGGTGTCTTAAAAACTGATTGGTTTCGATAAATCATTTTCCCCCAGGGCCCCCAGCAAGGACTGGGCACTGGGTAGCCACATTTTAGAACCAGTGCGACTCCCTGGCTCTGAGGGGAATGAATTGTTCCTGGCGTGTGATATTTATCTATCTGCCCCTGAATACGAGGACCTAACAAAGCAGCCAGCTCATTGGCCTGAGTCTGTACGTTTTAGGAAGAAAGGAGAACATCTGGGGGCTCATGGGATGCTTTGACCACTGGGCTCAACTCCTCTTTTCCGTTCATGAAATGGTGGATTAATAAAAACTGCATACGCAAACATGTGCAGGCCAACACAGGGACCAAATGCTAGCCCCTTTGTGGGAAATAGAGTGTGCATGTTCTGGAGTGACAGGTCTGGGAAGAGCTTTCCCACCGTGCATAGAGCCCTCTGCAAACTGGTGGACTGCAGCAGAGTAGAGACCCTTTGCACAGAAGAAAACAAAAGCTGCCCAAGACCTCACAACATCATGGCAGAAACTCTTCAGCGGGATGCAAAGCATTGGGTGGACAGTCTAGTCTTTTTGGATTTAAGGTTCCCCATCTGAGTAGTAGGCTCTGGTGTGATACAGTTGATCCTTCAATAGAGGTAATTGTGTCTTTCAGACAAAACCTAAATGCTCTAAAATCCAATTTTTTCTTAATGTCCTGTTGACCCTCAAGAAAATTTTTGAATTTCAATTTTTTTTTTTTTTTGGTCTTTTATTTGGGACAGTTTCCTGCTATCCCAGCCTAAATTCAAAATTATAGTCTTCTTGCTTTAGCCTCCAGGTGCTGGGATTACAGGTGTGCACTACCATATTCAAGTACGGTTTCAGCTTTTGGTGTTTGTTTGCAAGACAGGGTTTCTCTGTGTAGCCCTGGCTGGCCTGAAACTGGCTGGCCTTGAACTCAGAGATCTGCCTGCCTCTGCCTCTGCCTCCCGAGTGCTGGCATTAAAGGTGTGCACCTGCCACACCTGGTGGTTTCAGATTGTTATTTTCATTGGAAATTTCCAGTCTTCATCCATTTGGATCCTCCATATCTGACTGTTGGATCTTAACAGGTGCCATCCAGATTCCCACAGTGTCTTTCAGCCATGAGGAATCCAACACCACAGCCCTTGCGGAGTTCGGAGAATACATTCGCAAAGGTCAGCTGCCAACTGAGGGCAGAGGGTGGCAGAGATACACTGGAGACCTTGACCTTGACAAGGTGATAAGGACATATATTTTTGTCACTAATAGAGGACTGCTTTTTACTCTGTTCATAGAATGTGTAAAAGAGAGGACCCAAAGGTTACACAGTAGAGGGCAAAGTGAGGGCTGTAGGTTTGAAGAACTTTGAAGAACTGAGAATAGGCCCGGTGGTGGTGGTGCATGCTGTTAGTCCCAGCACTCGGAAGGCAGAGGCAGGTGGATCTCTGTGAGTTCGAGTCTACAAGAGCTAGTTCCAGGACAGCCTCCAAAGCCACAGAGAAACCCTGTCTTGGAAGAAAAAGAAAAAGGACCAAGGATTAGCTATAGTTCTCTAAACATGTATCCATTAATAAACTGGGTCATTAATTAGCAGGTAAAGCAAGGGGTTCCTTCTCTTGTGCAAATGTCTAGAACTCTGTCCCAGCACCTCCCACGCCTTCTACCATACGCCCATTCATCCAGCTTGCAAGGCACTCAACCTAGTGGGCTCCATTTACAGTAATCATTAACATGTTCCTAAGCCTGTTGGCAGTCAGCATCCTTGACCTGCCCTATCATTCTCTCCCTTCATCCTTATGGCCATGGAACCCAGAGCTAGGAAGAATGGATTGGGGAGGGTGTTAGAATCCTCCTTAGTAAAAAAACAAAACAATCTAATGGAGAATAGGGAGGTTCCCCCTTCAGGATGTCAGAGGCAGAAGAAGCAAGCTTGGGAGCATCAAGTAGTCCTCTCTCTAACACTCTGGGACAAATGGATCTGGGATTAAAGCCAGGCAAGAAGTCATTACCGAAGGGGGGGGGCAGGGATGAAAGGGGGAATGGCCTAGGGTCCTGGAGATAGTGCTCAGTGGTAGAGTGCTTTGCTTGCCTTGTATTTGCAAGGTCTCTCTCTCTCTCTCTCTTTCTCTTCCTCCCTCCTCTCCTTCCTCCCTCCCTCACAAAAATAAACAATTTAGAAAACTACGTACAGTGGCAATGAACTAAGTGAGGTGGGTAACGGACTGAACCACACCCTTCAGTTTTCCTTTTTTCCTGTGTGTGCGCGTGCGTGCGTGCGTGCGTGCGTGCGTGCGTGTGTGTGTGTGTGTGTGTGTGTGTGTGCGTTTAGATATGCACAGAGGAGTAAGTGGATTCTTCCCAGAAAGTCCATGAGGGGAATTAGCTAGACTACCTGTATTAAGTCCTGCCTGTAATGGGAGTAATACCCTTAAAGGGAAACAACCCAAATATTCACCACTTCACAGATGGTCCATTAAAGCAAAGAACAGGACCTGGAAAGATTGCTGGGTGGATAAGAGTACTGGCTGCTCTTCCAGAGAACTGGGGTTCTATTTCCCTGTATCCAAATGGTGACTCACACTGTCCGTCTGTACCTCCAGTTCCTGAGGACCCAACAGCCTCTTTCCCTTCATGAGCACGAGGCACACATGTACACGTGTGGTATATGACACACAGTCAGGCAAAACACACATATACTTAGAAAGTAAATAATAACAAACTTTTAAAAAATATTAAACCCAGCTGTCTGTATCCATGGATTTCACGGGTGGGTTCAACCAACCTCTGATTGAAAATATTAAAAAGAAGGTAGACGTGTCCAGTCCCAGAACTTGGAAGGCTGAGGCAGGAGGATCATGTGTTCCTAGACTACCCGGTGAAATCAAGTCTCAGAGGGGAAAAAAAAAATCTTGCTGTCCTGAATAGTTTGACGTCTGTTTGGCCCAGGCGAAAGTCATGTGAGAGAAGGAAACTCAACTGAGAAAATGCCTTCCTTAGTTTAGGCTGTACGTAGCCTGTGGGGCATTTTCTTAATCAGTGGTTAATGGGGGAGGGCCCAGCCCATTGTAGGTGGAGCCCTGGGCTGGTGGTCCTGATCTCTGTAAGAAAGCAGGCCAGGCGGTGGTGCACACCCTTAATCCTAACACTCAGGAGGCAGAGGCAGGCAGATCTCTGTGAGTTCCAGGCCAGCGTGGTCTACAAAGCAAGTTCCAGAACAGGCTCCAAAGCTATAGAGAAACCCTGTCTCGAGAAACGGGGGGGGGGGGGGGGAGAAGAAGAAGAAAGAAAAGCAGGCTGAGCAAGCCAGTAAGCAGCACCCTCCATGGCCTCTGCATCAGCTCCTGCCTCCAGGTCCCTGCCCTGTTTGAGTTTCTGTCCTGACTTCTTCAATGATGAACAGTGACACAACCCCCATCTATAAAGATGTCAGTATGTGACAGCATGTTAGGCTAGAAGGAGCCAGGTCTTGCGCTATTACCCAGTGAGTGTGTGTGTGTGTGTGTGTGTGTGTGTGTGTGTGTGTGTGTGTGGTAGTTTTGCCTCCTTGCATGTCAACGCACTATGTGTACAGTTCCTTCAGAGGCCAGGAGAGGGCATCAAAAATCCTTGGAACTCAAGTTACAGATGGTAATGGGTCTCCATGTGGGTGCTGGGAATTGAATCTGGAACCTCTCCAAGAGCAACTAATGCTCTTAACCTCCGAGACATCTCTCCGGCTCTAGTATTTAATGGCACAGTTTTAAATAGCTCATTGAAATAGGAGGGGTTTGATCCTGGAGGGAATGTCTCTGTGTGTACACATTATGTTACATATATATTATAATGTAATACACAGAGAGAGAAGGGGAATTTCAGACACTGAATAGATGGAACAGAATTTATAACCATAAGGAGCATTTATATTCAAGAAATAGAGAAAGAAAAAAGGACTTGGGAGCACAGAATGGGAGGGAAAGGGGAGGAAACCTTGGCCCTGACTTTTCTGTTTCTCATCCCGTTGCTTCAAGTCTTCCCTACAGTGTTCCACAGCAGCTTTATCCGGCACGAAGTCGTGGGAACGTATAGCCACCTGTTTACTGTCCAAGGCTCAGACTCCAGTTTGCAGCCCTACATGCTGATGGCACACTTTGACGTGGTCCCTGCCTCTGAAGAAGGATGGGAGGTGCCCCCATTCTCAGGCCTGGAGCGTGACGGCTTCATCCACGGCCGGGGCACACTGGACAACAAAAACTCTGTGATGGTCTGAAATGCTATGCTTGATACCTGACTTAGACTCCAAAGGTTACTCCAGGATAGGAGAGTTTGGCTGGCATTGGGAGCGGAGGGAAGTTATGGTTGAAAGAATTGACTGGAGCTGGGCAGTGGTGGCACACATGCCTTTCATCTCTGCACTCAGAAGGCAGAGACAGGCAGGCCTCTCGTGAGTTCAAGGTCAGCCTATCCTATAGAGCAAGTTCTAGGAGGGCCAGAACTATACAGGAAAACCCTGTCTCAAAACAATCAGAAAGGAAAGGAGGGAGAAAGGGAGGGAGAGAGGGAGGGAGAGAGGGAGGGAGGGAGGGAGGGAGGGAGGAGGGGTGTAGGAGGCTTGAATGGTAGCTATCAGTTCTTACTTTCTGGACCTTTGTCCCAAGCATGAAGGAACTGGGGTAGATAATCCAGTGCATAGGGACCACTGGCATTGATAAATGCTCGCTTCCCTCAGGTGGCGAGGGTTTTCTGCAGAACTCTGGACCACCTTCTCTCTAAAGCCAGACCATCAGATCTTTGTGCCACCATCCCTGATGAATTACTCTGACACCCTACTTAGATAGTGAATCTCCTCTTCTGAATCCTAGGCAATCCTGCAGGCCTTGGAGCTTCTATTGATCAGAAATTATAGCCCCAAAAGATCCTTCTTCATAGCTTTGGGCCACGATGAGGAGGTAAGCCAGAACCTGCCTCAGGGACGGGAGCTTTACCCTGAGCCAGTATGCCCATCAGCTACAGGGGCTCCATGAGATTCTCTAGCTGTTTGCCAGTTTCTCTGTGAGTCTGTGTGCCAGCATTGAACTTCCTGGTAATACCCAAGGCAAACAGAGCCTGGCAATTCCTCCCCAGGAAACCTAAGTATCACAGAAAGAGAACTGAGTGTTTTCCTTCCCAGTGATCCTATCTGCTTTCAGCCCAGCCCAGCCCTTCACTCTTCTAGAGCCCAGTGCCTTCGTTTGTGAAATTGGTGGGACCCAGAGGGACTGGGACACTGGACAGCTCTGTGAGACAGAACTATCTCAGGCCCAGCCCCATTAAAAAAAGGCTAGGAAGGATGGTTCTGGAGTGGCACGCTGAATGAGTCTCCATTCGCTCTCTCACTGTGTGTTTCTGGCTAAGAAGGACTGTAGCCTTGGGTTCTCTATCTACAGGTGTCTGGGACAAAGGGAGCTCTGAAGATGTCAGCACTCCTACAGGCCAGGGGTGTTAAGCTGGCCTTCCTTGTGGACGAAGGGAGCTTTATCTTGGAAGATTTCATCCCAAACCTCAAGAAGCCCTTTGCCATGTAAGTGAAGCGCCCCACCTTGCACCCTGAAAGAGTCTTCACCCATTGGAGATTACCCACGCCACCTGTAAGCCACAGCCAGATGTTGCTGCGTTCTCAGTAGGCCCTGGGCTCCTGCTCATGCCCTTCCTCTAGTGTTGAATTTTTCAAAACAGCATGAAGCTAACCTCCCAGACCACACCATCATGCAGATGAGCCTGTGGGTCTACGGAATCGTTTAGTGGGGAAGCAGTCTGAAGACTCATCTCTGACCCTCTCCCACAGGATTTCGGTCTCAGAGAAGGGTGCCCTTGATCTCATGCTGCAAGTAAACATGACTCCGGGCCACTCTTCAGCTCCCCCAAAGGAGACAAGCATTGGCATCCTCTCTGCCGCTGTCAGCCGGTAAGCAGCTCCTGGCTGCGCCTTGGATGGAAGGACCTGGCACTCACCCACTCTGAGGCTGAAGAACCAGCCTGCCTGTGCTCCCTGCCATGAAGCTGGCCTGAGGAGCAGAGGTGCAGGCAGCAGGAGGGACAGAGCCACCAATACTAAGATCAGGACTGGGATCAAAAGATATTATCAGGCCAGCTAGAGGGCATGCAGGAGCCAGTAGACAAAAGCCAAGCCGGAGAGCTGGGTAGTCCAGAGCCCAGCCAAGCAGTTAGAATTACAAGTTGGCAGTGACCGGTAAAGCTGTCTAAAGTCTCCTGCTGCTCTGGCAGGAGGACGGAGATAAACAGGGGTCCCTGGCTGTGGATAAAGACCGAGGATTGCAAGAACAACACTTACCTGTGACTAGGTTCTCTTAGCAGAGTAAAAAGAAAGTGTGCCTGCCAGTTTTGTCAACTTGACACAAGCTAGAGTCTTTGGAGAGGAAGGGGCCCCAGATGAGGAAAAGCCTCCATAAGATAGGGCTATAGGCAAGCCTGTGGGGTATTTTCTTAACTGGTGGTCCAGTGAGAGGGCCCAGCCCATTCACTGTAGGTGGTGCCATCACTGGACGGGTGGTCCTGAGTACTATAAAGCAGGCTTAGCTAGCCACGGGGAACACGCCAGTAAGCGGCACCCCTCCACGGTCTCTGCATCAGCTCCTGCCTCCAGGTTCCTGCCCTGTTTGAGTTCCTGTCCTGACTTCCTTCAAGGGTGGACAGTGATGTGGAAGTGTAAATCAAATTAACCCTTTCCTCCCCGAGTTGCTTTTGGTCACCGTGTTTCCATCATAGCAATAGTAACCCTGACTAGGACAGAGAGCTGCTATGTGTCAGGGAATACAGTAAAAACTGAGATGGCCCCTGCCCTAAGGAAGCCCCAGTTGGTATAGCAGACTATGGGAGTGGACATAGGGTGGGAGAGGGCCAGAGCTAGAGACAGACATGGCTCTGACTTGTGGCCAGGGAAGGCGCCTACTGATGCTCTGGGTCTTCAGCTGGGGTTGGCGGGGGTGACGGGCAGGCTTGTTGAGACTTGCACCCATCTCCCTCATCTTGAGGCTGCTGATGTTGGTCTTGAGAACTTCTTCTCTTCCAGACTGGAGCAAACACCAATGCCGAACATGTTTGGAAGTGGGCCACTGAAGAAGGCATTGAAGCTGCTGGCAAACGAGGTGTGGGAGGAACGTCCTGGGCCCCTGGGCAGCTTCGGGAGAGGAGCAGAAAGTGGGTGGAGAAGGAGCTGTAGAGCAATGGAAGGACTGACGTGCCACTCGGGCCTCTGCTCGTTCTCAGCTAGTCCCAGCCAACGCTGAGCCAAGAAGGGGCATGTCCTCTGAAGCCCATAGGCCCAGGTCTCCTGGAAAGCTGTTTCCCACTCATCCTTGTGACTGCTGAGCAGTCAGATATGCCACGCAGGTGGAAATGGGCTCACTCCCGCAGAGACTTAGCTGATGGCGTGGGGGGGGGGGCTTGAGCACTGTGGCCTGAGATAGATCTCAGAGACTCGAGCCTCAGCTACAGCGGCCCTGCTACGCCGACCCCTTCTCTCCTGCTGACCTTGTCCCTTCCCTTTCAGTTTTCTTTCCCTGCCAACATAGTCTTGAGCAACCTGTGGCTCTTTCGGCCCATTGTGAGCAGGTAACATGTTATGTCTCCTCCTCTAAGTCTCCTTCCCCAGGCACCTACCCCCTGGCCCGACTAGTCACCCCCCAGCCACAGATACTTCTGTTACTAATGTGTAGGCTGATGTCTCTCTCTCGGCCTTAAAGATCTCCAAGGTTTAAGACAGAGAGTGAAATTCCAAACCTTCTTCTTTCCGATGCCTAACCGTAGTCTTTTTGCTTTAGGCTAATGGAGAGGAATCACATAACCAATGCACTGGTCAGAACCACCACAGCCCTCACCATATTCAAGGCAGGGATCAAGGTAACGTGGTTCCTTCAGCTACACTTGGCTTTCCCTTCCTTCAGTGGCTACTGAATGGGCGGGCCGGTGTTGCTCCATGCCACTGATCTGTCATTAGTTGGTAAGCCTCAAGAGCAAAGGCTGCAGTGAAGGTCTACGGCCCACTGAGAGTGTGGTCACATCTGTCTGTGCATGTGCCCTGAAAGTAATCCCACGTTTCATATTTTCCTAGCACTTAGGTCACACAGACTAAACCCTTTTACCATCAAAGATCTCTATTTTTGTTTATTCACTTACTTTTTTGTGATGCTATAGATGAAGCCTATAGCCCTCTACCCCAGAGCACCTTATCCACCGAACTAATGCAGTGAGTGGTTAATGTGAGTTCCCCTGGTGTAAGTTCAAAGACACACTCACTTGCCGCTCATAAAATCCATGATATCTTTTCCCCCAAATCTGCCTCAGTCAGTGTAATTTCTATATGAGTCTTACATCTGGAGAAATAAGAATAAATAATTTGATAAGCTTTTATTCCATAAAGAAAACATTTAGTTTTCAGTATACTGGGCTACTTGCAGTTACACTGTCTACTAAGGGGCAACTCTTGTTAAAAGACCAAGCCTGGCCACCAGCACAACTTCAGGGGTCACCATTTTCTTGAAGTGCAATATGATCTGAAAAACAAGATTGATTTGGGTTTGGAATTTTGTTTGTATGGAGTATTTCACTGTGTAGCCCTTGCTGACCTAGAATTTGCTATGTATACCAGATCGGCCTAAAACCCACTGATATCTGCCTGCCTCTGTTTTCCTGAGTGCTGGCTTTAAAGGCGTGTACCACCACACCCGGTCCCAAGTTTGATAGAAATGTTGCCTCCATCTTTACTTCTGGCATAACAAACCTGAGCCAACTCAGATTATCTTCACCCGCTGCTGTTCTGTTTAAAATAGTCATGTATGCCCAGCTAGTGCTTGATCACCAAGAGACTGCGCTCTCGCATTTGACCTATGGTTTTCTCTCCATGGAGACAGAAGGGGGAGGGGGAACTCAGATACTCCCATTTGAGTCTTCTAGAACTAGACCTTGTGCTACTCAGAGATCACACTGCCAATTTGCAATAGCCCAGCACGTTACAGTACCTTGGTGCTTCTTGGCCTCTTACCAGTTCAAAGAAACATATAGGAAATCTCTCTCACGACATCAAGGAAATATCCCTCTGTAGCCTGTCTTCTCCAACTATTCACAGGTTCAGAAAAAAAAAAAAAAGGTAGATTTTATACCCAGACATGCAAAGCAATCACTACTACCATCCCTTCAAGGATTAGACACACCACTCTATGGAGAAGACCCTTGAGACCCTGGGTGTTCCACCACAAGTAATACCAGTATTAACAGAAGTGGCCAGGGTGTCCTGGGAACGTGCACAGAGTTGTCTGGGCAGTCACAGGGCAAGCAGTCCTGTCCCGAACTTCTCTGTGAGCCCTCCAGGACCAAGACGCACAGAGAGCTTGCCTAAAGCAGAGACCCTAAAAGTGAATATAACAGCAGGTTAAGGGCCACAAGAAGACTCCGGAGACTCCGGATTAAGCCCTGGCTCCTTGAGCTGGAGCACTTGCCTCTCCTCCTCCTGGTTGGCAGTTGGTGTCTCTTGGGCAGGGACCAGCTCTGGAAGACGTGAGGAGGGTTCAGGCCAGGTTTCTGCTTCTCTGTCCAGGTGAATGTCATCCCTCCATTGGCTCAGGCTACAATCAACTTCCGAATTCACCCTTCGCAGACAGTACATGAGGTATGTACTTACGTTCCAAAGAGCAGGTCCAGCCTCAGGGAGTAGGACCTTCGACACCTGAGGTTGGTTTGGTTTGGTTTTCCAAAATCCCCTATGTACCAACTGCATTGGCTAGGCGATATCTGGTTTGGGGAAACTTGGAGTCTAAGGCTGAGACGCGAAGACAAACGATAGTGATGGTAGTAAATCTTTCTGGTGAGCTTGCTGTGTGCTTGGCACCGTTCTTCGGTACGCAGATGTTTGCGCTCACACCGCCCAGTAAGGTAGGATCCCTACTGTCCTCACTCAGCTGAGGAAGCTGGGGTGTAGAGCATCAGAGAAGGTAGGCAGTACACTGGTGAGTACATATCCAACAGTCTGCCTCCGGAGCTGCTGCTCTCTACAACCCTTTACTGCTGCCGTGATAATCTGGGGTGAACCGTAATCCGGGGTGAACCATCTCCCACGAGATACACTGTGAAGCCACCTCGAGGGTCAAAGCAGCCCTTTCTCACTAGTAGAGATTTGAGCTGGGTGTTAAAGGACGGAAAGATTAAATGTCAAGGCAAAAGAGTAGGCTAAATGAGGAAGTATGGGCTGCTTGAGACTAGCCTAGGCTAGAGGCCTTGCCTCAAGAGCAACGGCAGCATATGAGCAATACTTGGCTGTGTGTGTGTGTGTGTGTGTGTGTGTGTGTGTGTGTGTGTGTGTTGGGGGAGTGTGAGGCGTGGGGGTGGTGGGTGGGTGAGTGTGTAACACTGTAATAATTGAGGAATAAAAGGCCATGAGTCTGAGAAAGAGCAGGGTGGAGATGTGGGAGGCGTTAGGGGGCGGATGATATAAATACAGTGACAACATAGGACATTCTTAGTGACAACAGAGCGAGCAGGACATGAGCTGGGGAAGTAGCTCAGTGCGGGCTGCTTGCCATGTAAGCCTGGGGACCTTAGTCTGGATTCCCAGCACCCTCAGAAAAACCACAGAAGCAGCGCATCCCTTATCCCAGCCCATGGGGAGCAGAGCTAGGATCCTTGGAGCTTGCTGGCTACCCAGTCAATCTAGCTGGAATGGTGAGACCTAAGCTCAGACCCTGTCCTAAAAATATAAAGTGGACTAGGATATGTAGATGCAAGCATTTAACCCCAGTGCTTGGGAGACAGAGGCAGTGAGTTCAAGGCCAGCCTGGCCCCTATAGGCAAGTTCCAAGCCAGATGTCCTAGGCAGTGTTCTGTTGCTTTGAAGAGACACCATGACCTCAGCAACTCTTATAAAAGGAAGCATTTCATTGGGGCATGCTTACGGTTTCAGAGGCTTAGTCTATTGGCAACATGGCGGCAGGCAGACACACATGGTCCTGGAGAGGCAGCTGAGAGCTCTACATCTGGATCTGCAGACAGCAGGAAGACACTAGGCCTGGCTTGGGCTTTTAAAACCTCAAAGCCCATCCCCAGTGGCACACCTCCTCCAACAAGGTCAACTCACCTAACCCTTCTATGTAGTGCTACCCTTGATAACTCAGCCTATGGGGACCATTCTTCTCCAGCCAATCACACCAGCCAAAGCTACATAGAGAGATCATGTCTCAAAACTAAAATAAAAAAGTAAGGCAGCGAACAATAGAGAAAAATACCCACCCAACATTGGCCTCTGATCTGTGTATCACACATGCACACACACACACACGTTCAAAATGACAATAACAACAACAACAAAAGAAAACACCGAGAGGGTAGCCCAGCATCTGGGAGATGGCTAATACATTCTAGAATACAGTAGGGACTCCTGTCCATAGCCTGAAGTGTCCAGTGTCAGACACACCTAGATTTCTTCTTGTTGGTTTTCAAGAGTTCTTCCCATGAAAGATCCATCTGTCCCTGTGCAGGCAAGGGTGGGGGGTGCACTCTCTGTAGACGCAGGAGTGTGTTAACAGCCTGCCTGGCCTGGGGGGGGGGGGACGACGGCCCTGAGCTCAGTGTGAGTCCCTGATTCCACTGCCCTTCATCAGCTGACAACCTTGTTCTTTCCCTGGAGGCTCATAGGATCAGGAAATCGCTGAATTTAATTAAATTTAATCAGCTGAGCTTTCCACCCGCTTCTTTTTCCTTTTTCCAGCATATTCCAACTCCATCCCTTTCCAAAGGCTGTTTTCCACCCATTAGGGCTTTCATCTCCCTGGCCCTGGCACCTCCCCCCCCCCCACACACACACACTAACCACAGGGCCTTTCCTCCTGGTCTATCTGATGGCACTTCTGGAATCCCCTGGACTCATCCTGGCCACCTGCCCCGATGAGGGATGGAAAACCTCCAACCTTTCGAAAGCTCAGAGGGACCCATTTGTCCTGGTCACTCCTCCTCTTTCTTGTCCAGAGGCCACAAGCTCAGAGCTTCATGCTGGGCCCAGTGGGGACACCGTGGATATCATGGTTCTCCTATCTGCACCTGTACCTGTTCCCCACAATGTAGAGGTAGGTGGCTGCGCGCGCACACACACACACACACACACACACACACACACACACACACACGCGCGCGTGCGCGCGGCAAGAGCCCTCCCATTACATCTCCAGCCCCTCCCCACTTTTTCCTACTTTGTTATTTTGAAACAGGGCCTTGCTAAGTTGCCCAAGCTGGCCTTGAACTTGTCATCCTCCAAGGTAGCTAGAATTTCGGTCCTGCACCCTTGAACCTAGCCAGAAATTCTTTTAAGTACTTGGGATAATGGGGAGCCAAAAAGACAAGATTCCCATTCTGATGGTTCCTGTGGTCCAGGGACAAGGGACAGCAGCAAGCAAGCAAGCAAATGAACAAGGTAGCATAAGTGGTAAGTAGTATAAAGACTGCCTTGGTATCACACAGTGGCTGTAAAGTGACAGTGGGGACATAAGCAGAATCAAGTGCAGGGACAGTGAAGTATGAGCTGGATATATAGACATGCATTTTGCCATTTTTGTTGTTTTGAAGACAGGGTTTCTCACTGTACCTTGGCTGTCCTGGAACTGGTTCTGTAGACCAGGCTGGCCTCAAACTCACCAAGATCCACCTGCCTCTGCCTCCCGAGTGCTGGGATTAAAGGCGTGCACCATCACCACCAGGCAACATGCTACCTGGAACTCCCTGTAGATCATGCTGGCCTTAGACTCCCAGACCCTCCCAAGTCTGCTGGAATTGACGCTATGCTCAACCACGCCCAGCCAGGACAGGTCTTTATCCCTGCCCTCGGGAGGTTGATACAAGGCAGTAAGTTACAGGCCAACTCAGGCTATAGTAATTGTTTGTCTGTTTGACCCCTCCAGCAATAATTAGAGGCTCAACAATGGGACTAGAAGGAGGGACTACCAATGGGGAGAGAGAGACCTCCGAGGTTGCTGCAGAGCTTATTGACTTCTTAGTTCTCCATCCGCAGTGCTCTGGCACGCTCCCACAGTCTGCTTTTCTCTTATGTGTAGCGACATTTGGTATTGATGGAGAGTATTGGGGGTACCAGTGCTGGGGTAAAACCTAGCTCTGATTGAAAACCAGTTCTTATAACCCTCATCCACTCCCCACAGGGCATTTGCTTTGATTCCGATGGCGTTTCTGAGCTAGAAGTGGGAGCCTTCACTGCCCTCTCCAGATGCAGCTCTACCACACTTCTAGGGGCCATTGGCCTAAAATGAGCACTCCATATAATGGCCCCATTCGGGTGATCACCAGCTGTGAGACACATCCCTTCCTGGGACAGAAGCAGCTTCAAACTAACCACTGGTCAAATGGTTGATATTGGGCTTTTCCTTGTGGAGCTGACTGGGACCACTGTATCCCTCCTGGTCTGTTCTCTCAATCGACCTGAGCCTCTGGGTCTGCATCCTTCCTGGGACCAGGGATTTCACCAGAAACCAACCCCCCCTCCCCCAGTCACCTCAGGCTGGATTTTCTGGAAGTTTCCTCATGGTCTGTCTCAATAGAAAGAGGCAAAGGGAAAAATGTCAGCCACAGCAACACACTCCTGACTTTGCGTGCATGTTGTTGTGCTCATCTTTCCGGATGAGTGTATTTGGTTACAAATAGGCAGCAGCTCAAGAGAGGAAAAAGAAAACTACGTGGCAAAGCCTTTTACAACCTGTGTCGCCAACCCAAGGCTCTCAGGTTGGAACAGGACCATCCTATTAAAATAGCTGAGATTCTCATCCTAGTATCCCTTATACTTTACCTAAGCCCATGGCTCACAACCCAAGGGGGTGGAAAAACAATACAAAACAAAACCAATTTCTGGATTATCCAATTCCCCATCTGACTCAGAGCTGTAAGACAATCCTCCCAAGCACTTAGCTGAATTCTGCCATGCTTTCTAGGAAATGCCAGCTCTTACATCACCCACAGCCAGGCAGTAAAAGCTGGGGTCCCACTGGGGGGAAAAAAAAAACATTCTTTTCTCTCAACTCCAGAGGGTTACCTTGCTGACACAAAAGACCTGAGTTTGGTGCTTGGACAGCAGGTCAATGAGAACTGTAACCATCTTGGTTTCTGTCCCGAAGGTCCTAGAGCTTGTCAAGAGCATCGTGGCGGATGACCGAGTCCAGTTGCATGTGTTGAGATCCTTTGATCCCCTTCCGGTCAGCCCCTCTGATGAGCAGGCCATGGGCTACCAGCTGCTCCAACAGACCATACAGTCTGTCTTCCCGGAAGTCAATATTGTTGTTCCAGGTAATGACTTCATCAGGTGTGGCTGGTGGGCGGTGGTGGCTCAGACTGCTTCCTATCTGATGTCCCTTTCCCTGCCCCCAACCCAGCCACTCATCCTGGAAACAGCTGGCTGCTTCTGTCCCTGGAACTGTACTTTTCCCTCAGGGTGGGAGTGAGGAAGGAAACAGGAAAAGGGACAGAAACAATAAATTAGGTCAGCTGAGGATGGGTCCTTGCTTATGTCCCTCGGGCATAGAGGAGGGGTTGGCTTAGAACATACCTCTCCTGGCGGAGTTACCTCGCCACCATCCTGGAATAACAGCTGAGCAGTAGGACTCAGAATGACAGTCCAGAAAAGCCTGAGTCCATGCCATTCATACCAGCGTTCCTCCTCAGTCTGAGACCTGCACATCCCTGTGCATTTCCCCCACCTTCTACCACACCATCTAACCCTGGCAGAGGTTCTCCCAGGGAACTTCACAAAACATAGAACACCTGGACCCACTCGTATGTTCCAGCTGTGATCTGCCCTTTTGAAAGATACTCCCAGAGGATTTTTGGCACAGTGATGGCTGAGCAGTTTCCAAATAATTTCTTGTCCCCATGCATGGGCATGTTCTAATGTGAAAGCCCTCTACGTAGGTTTACTCGTGGCCGTCTATGGACATCTAGGAACCCTGGCTCTCACGGTCCATATCCTCTTCCATCCGTAAAGACTCTCTCCACCCCATCCTTGCCACTGGCCGTAATCCCATCAATAGGGTCAGACTGCAAAAGCAGTGGAGAAAATCAACAGGAAGGCATCCACAAAGCACAGGATTAGACCCTGGTGCCCACTTGAAATGAGAAGCAGAAAACGGAACAAAACGCAAAACCAGCGTCTTGAGCTATCTCACCACACTTGAACTGGTGCTAGGAATGTCTTTTCCTAGAGGTCACGCCTGTCCCGGGGACAAATCCCAGCGTAGCTGGGTGACCTATCCTCTGGGAAAGTAGGAGACTAGAGGAGTTTCCTAGGACCTTCCCACCTGAACTTCGCCTCCCAAAGTCATCCCTAGGAAGATGAGACCAGCAGAGCATCCTCCTCCTTGCAGCAAAATGCCCCCACGGTTGTTTACTTCTGTCCTAAGTGATACAGAACACAGTTCAAATGATCTCTCTAAACTCTTGATTTCTCAAACACAAATAGCCTTGACTGCGGGGATAAAATAAGAGGCCTCTCTGGTCATTGTGGGACAAGAACAACTTAGCTTCAGACCTCTCAAGGCTATCTCAACAATGCCTCCAGGAAATTCCATGTTCCTGTACGGATTTGAAAAGAGGCACCTTAGGCAATAAAAAAATGTCCGAGGTGCTAGGTGTTGCACACCTTTAGTCCCAGCACTCAGGAGGCAGAGGCAGGCACATATTTCTGTAAGTTCAAGACCATCCTGGTCTCAGAGTGAGTTCCAGGAGAGTCAGGGTTACCCAGAGAAACCCTGTCTTGGGAGAGCAGAGCAGGGAAGCGGGGGACTGGCAGAGGGCGGGGAGTCCTAGGCAGATGCTCTTAGGAAGTCCCAAGAATCACTCTACAGTGACTCAAGTTCCTAATTGGCTCCCAGCTAGCTTCCCCTACATCATTGGCTGGGTGGCTCGCATAGAGCCCATTTTCTCTTACTCCTCCCCTTCTAGGTATTTGTATTGCCAATACAGACAGCCGACACTATGCCAACCTCACTAACGGCATCTATCTGTTCAACCCCGTTTTCCTGCAGTCTCGGGACTTCAGTAGGTAAGTGGAACGGGGTTAAGCAGCAAGGCAGAGAGGAGATCGAACTGTCCCGTCACACTTGGCTGACTTACAAAATAGAGGAAAGCCAGATTTTGACAGCGCAGAGAGATTCTAGAACCCACATTGGCATCATGGCTGCAGGAATTGTGGGAATAACCCCGAGCACACTCTGCTTTTAAAAAAAAAAGTTTTGTCTGCATGTATAGCCATACACCATTTGCATGCATTGTCATTAGGAACCAGAAGGGGGCACCCCAGAACAGAAGGTTGTGAACCACCACGTGGGTGCTGGGACTCAAACCCAGGTCCTCTGGAAGAGCAGATAGTGTTAACTACTGAGCCATCTCTCCAGCCCTGTTGATTGCCAAACTTAAAGCCAGCCTGGGCTGTGTAACAAAACCATGTCTAAGAAGGAAGGAGGGGGCCCCTACACAGTGTTTCTCTCTTTGAGAGATTACTCTCCCCTGGACCTCACTTTCTAAAATACGGAGACCCTCCAACAGTCTTTGATAAGGAAACACATGTGAGTTCAAAGGTAGGCATGTCAGTTTGCCTTCTCAGAGGAAATGCTATGAAAATCCAAAATGTGAGTACCAATTTTAACTGTCATGTGTGACTGCTTTATGAGTCTTCAGCAAATTTTGACTCAAAGTTTGGAAAAATAGTTTCCATTTAGCCTTCTGCGATCTATTACATCAGACCTGAATTCTTCCCCGCACCACAAGACGGTTGAAACAGAATGAAAGTGTTTGAATGTGATCTTAAGAGTAGCACTCATGGCCGGGCAGTGGTGGGTGCGCACCTTTAATTCCATCACAGAGGCAGGTGAAATCTCTATGAGTTCAAGGCCAGCCTGGTCTACTTAGCAAGCTTCTGAACAACCTTAGGATGACGTAGAGAGATGCTGTCTCAAAAAAAAAAAAAAAAAAAAAAAAAAAAAAAAAAACGCATAGTATTTATGTTTGGGGGTTTGTTTATTAAAACTGGGAGTAAGTGGCCCCTCTGTTTCCTATAATCTTTGCACTTTTGGGGTGAGCATGAGTTCTGATAGCAATGTTCCTAGGTAGAGGCTGGAGCCGTGCCCTGAGCTATTATCTTCCTGCCCTCCCTTACCCTTGGTGAGCGAAACCTTAGGGAAAACTCTAGCAAGAGACTATTCTAAGGGAAAAAAAAAAAAAGAATTAGGAAGATAATTCCACCAGAGAAGAAACGGGCCTCAGAAGAGAAGTCTGGGTAAATGGTAAACGTCTCCGGAGTTTATGCATTGTGTCCCCTGCTATTCCTGTGCATGAGCAGAGATCCTTGAGAGATAGCTGCTATGTCACAGTTAAGCTGGCAACGACTTTTATCACCTTGTCCCCATGGAGGACCGAAAGATAGGTCATACCAGGGGGTAAGGGGTGGGGTCCAGTGACAGTTCCTGTGCATCCGCATTTGAGCCTTATCCCCTCCCCCCCAAATTCTTCTTCCCTCAGTATCCATGGAATCAATGAGAAAATCTCGGTCCAGAACTACGAGAACCAGGTGAGGTTCATGTTTGAGTTGATCCAGAACGCCGACACCTACAAGGAGCCAGTTCCTCACCAGCATGAACTGTGAGGACCCAGCTGGGCGAGGGGTGCCCAGCACTGGGCCAGGACTGACCTATGGAGGAGACAGAGAGAGATCTGGTATTGATGAAAGGTTGGGTGGGAACCACCTTGTGACACAGTTCCTCTGCCTGGCTCCCTCTCCACTCACCACAGAACAAGCTCTGAGGAGGAAGAGAAGATGATCAGAATCTGGCCTGTCAGCCAGGTGGTGGTGGTACATGCCTTTAGTCCCAGCACTCGGGAGACGGAGGCAGGCCAATCTCTATGAGTTTGAGGCCAGCCTGGTCTACAGAGTGAGTTCTGAGACAGCCAGAGCTACACACAGAGAAATCTTGTCTCAAAAGAAAAAAAAAAAGAAAAAAGAAAAAGACTCTGGCCTGTCACCTGTCACCTCCCATGTCTGTAGTCTTCCCCTGAGTGGCCTTTACTGCCTGCTGCCCTTGCCTTAGAAGGTGTTAGCCTGTCTCAGGCTGGTTGTCTAACTAGCCCTCTTTCTCAGCCTGTCTTAACAAATGCAGGTTTGGGGGAAATCTCAAACAGGTTTTATCTAGCTAGAATGCTAACTTAGGGTACTTGAGCTGGACTGCCTTCTAGAATATTCCCTTTCTCCTGCCATCCACGCTCTACTTGGCCTTGGGAGCTGCCTCTCCTACCTCTGCTTCCTTCCCTCCTCTTCACAGTTTACCCCGCATCAAACTGAGACACACAGTCAGATACAGGGGTCTGCGCAGTGTCAGCTGCTCGCTCACTCTCTGACCGGTGAGCTTGAGGTGAAGATGCTCAGGGACCCCCAGAACTGGCTGCAGAGGCATGGAAAAGCAAGCCACTTATCCTTGGGCTCCTGGAACTTTGCCCCCTTTCCTGCCCTGTTCCTGCCACCTGCGATTGCTGCCCCACCCCGGGAGGCACGAATCTATGGTAACATTTCCCTGGCACGGGCTATGGGCTAAGCTCCCGAGAGAGGAACTCAACATCCAGCCTCACGGTGGAGCCCGGAACCAGCAGGGCTGAGGCCCTGGCACCATGACCAGGGGGAGGTGGAGGGCAAGGAAGGGGGTCACTAGAGGCAAGAGGGGCAAGGGGAGGCAGCCTCCATTAGAGGATAGCAGAGCTCCTGTCTCCTCTCTGGACCCCACTCCTAGGCATATTTGATTCTGCCCAGTAGCTGCCAGGTGGGGGGCATTGGAAAGCAGCCGTGCTTGACTCCGGGCCAGGATTTGTGCTTTGTGGATCACAGGGGAGTTGAGGTCACAAGGGGAGGCACAGAAGTGGGACTTGAAAGACTCCCTCTTTTTCCCTCTCCAAGCTAGGCCCTTCCATGGCCCCCAAGGGTTTGATAGCACTGGGCTTCCTTGGCCCCTCCCCCAGAAGCTCCATTCTCCCTCAGTCCCGAGTCCTCACCTTCCTCCTGTGGGTGTGAACCGTTCCTTGCAGCTCAGGCTTAATTGTCAGGGCTGGAAACAGTGTGGGAATTATTCAGGCTTTTTTTTTTTTTTTTTTTTTTTTTTTTTTTGCTACTCCTGCTAAGATTCACATTCCTTCCCTCACTCTCCGGCTTTGGCCAACGCAGTACTTATTCAGCCTTTGTTGGAAGGCAAGCTTAAGAACAAAAATAACCCTTCGCATGTGTGCAGAACCCTATCAACTTGTTTCCTACACCTTACCTCAGCTCTGTGAACATGCTGTTGTCAGGGACGGACCTGATTCTGAGTCGGTTACACGTTTAGCCGCAAACAGTTGCTTGAACCCATGTTCCCTGGCTCCCAAACCCCACCGTTATTCTCTGACCCTGAACCACCTACTCCACACTCATTTCCTATTTAATTTTCATAACAACTGCTTCCCAGTGTGTCCCCATATTTGTATGCTGTAAACCCAATCCTGGGAGGAAAGTATTCCACCGGAGGAAACGTAACAGCCTACTCACGGTCTGCCTTTGTGGGGCTGTTAGGATTAGACAAGGCTGAATCAGGGTTGAGCTTATCTTCGACTTTTGGTGGCTTTTTAAGAAGAGAGTTTGAGAAGCAAAGACACGTTTGATCTGATTTGGACATTGCACCATAAATACTTGTCAAACATCAACAGTACCCCATTAAAAGAGAGAAGCTGGGGGGGGGCACGGCAGGACCAGAAGACAGACAAGTTCAAACGTGCATTCCCTGCATCTTGCCATGTGATGTCCTATGCTGTCTCTCCAGCGAGAAGACCTCCACTGGGGCGAGCCGTGCTCCCCACATGATTTTAAAGCTCCAGGACTGTGAGCCAAAATAAACCTCCTCTCTATAACTCAACCCAGTTTGCAGTATTGTGTCTTTGGAAGCAGAACAGCACAACTCCAATGCGTTATTGCTCCATGTTATAAATGGAGTTCCCAGGCTTACAAATTTCAAGGTTGCCCAGGGCCGTGCAGGTGTTGAGTCCAAAGTCTATGCTAATAGTTCTGAAGATAAAACAGACTCCCCCAAAGCTCAAGGTGACTGGATGCTCAAGGGACTATTGTAGAGCCAAAAGGAGCTCCAGATGCTCAAGTCCTGCCTCCTCCGACACTGTGGGGGGTTTGACTTATTCTGTGAGCCCCGGGATATGCAGAGAACAAAGGCTCCTCCATCTGGAATTATCTCCTTGCACTAGGCTCTGCTTCCCTGGCTGATGGGTCCCTGTCACACCCATGTCTACAGCAGTGATTTATTCCTCTCCTCTCACTCTAGTTCAGCTCTTTTCCCTGCTCCGGGAGCAATCACACTTCTACTGACCATGGAGTGACTGGGAGGATGGTGAGCAGGGAGCTTGTCCCCATCTGCCTCACTTCCTTTTCCAGCTTTGGAAAGGAGAAGCTCTCTGAAACCCCCACGAGAAGAAAGGGCCGTGAGAGGGAAAGGCTGGGGCTCCCAGGGGACACGTACCAGAACAGTGACCAGGAAGGTCCTGGAGAAGGTGGCTTAAAGTGTGAGCTAGAGTGGCTAGAGTTTGACTCTGCATAGGATGGATAATAAATCTGAGGCATTCCTCCAAACCCACCCATCAACCAGTCCCCAAATTCACCCCGAAAGACACCCGGCATACATATGCTACTTACACGTCCACTGACCCTAACCAAAGACATAGCTCAAGCTTTCTACTTGGATCTCACTTCATTCCTGCCTAGGTGGGAAGAAAGACAAAATATATGTAATCAAAGGGAAGGTAAGTGAGTAAAATTGGGCTGTGATCCTTGATTGTGAGTCTTGAGCTAAAAATACTCTTTGGTTGTGGGCCTAGCCTTTAATGGCTGAGCCATCTCTCCAGCCCAATATTCAGTATTTTTATTTTTGAGACAGGGTCTCACTATGTAGCCCTGGCTGTCCTGGAACTTGCTATTTGGAACAGAATGGCCTAAAACTCACAGGGATCCTCCTGCCTCTGCCTCCTGAATGCTGGAATTAAAGGTGGTGTGCCACCACCTCCGACTTAGTATTCTTTTCTTCCAGCAAGAGCTGAACATTTCATCACGTGAAAACATGAATATTTTAAGTGAAATGAAACAACTTGAAAGTCTTGTGATGTCCAGCACACTGTCAATGAAATTGCCCCTCTGCATATGTTATTTTTAGATCTACAAATATAAAGTTTCAGAATTGAAGGAAATATCTGATACTACGCAATGTTCTTCGGCCATTCTGCAGTATTGAAAATACTACACTAACTCATGGGTACCCCAAACCAGGAATTAGAACTCAAAGGCCATCAAGAAAATGGATGTTCAATATAACTGGCAAATAACATATCACACAACTCCAAATTCATGACGGTGTGAATGCTTGTGTACCACATGTGTGCAGTGGCTGCAGAGGCCAGAGGAGGGCATCAGATCCCCTAGCACTGGAGTTAGATGGTTATGAGCCACGATTTAGGTGCTGGGAATCAAATTCTCCTCTGGAAGAGCAGCCAAGTGCTCTTAACCACTGAGTCATCTCTCCATCCCCTTATATTTTTAATGTGTACCTACTTCAAAATATTACAAGATATACCACAATGTATTGTTTTGTTTTGTTTTTCCAGACAGGGTTTCTCTGTATTGCTTTGGAGCCTATCCTGGAACTCGCTCTGTAGACCAGGCTGGCCTCGAATTCACAGAGATCCTCCTGCCTCTGCCTCCCAAGTGCCAGGACCATCAATGCCCAGCTCAAAATGTATACTATTTTAATTTATTAATTTAAATAAAGACTCAGAGCAAGATAGAGAGAGCCTAATCTTAGGATTAGGAGCCTAATCTCAGCCTAAACTCAGGGCTACTAGCTGCTCCATCAGCACTGAACATTTAATGCCAAGGGACAGAGTGTTATATGGCTCCTTCTAAAGCAAGAACCCCAGATCAGATGTCTGTTGCTCCGGTGTAAGAGATGCAAAGCCCTATTCTATACATGTCTTGGTGTCTAGTTTGGGAAATGGTCCACCATGGTGAAGACAGCGCTATTGCCACTGAGACCTCAGAGTCAAGTGAGAACTAGACAAAGAACTGAGAGCGGATGCTAAGATGATGAAGCAGATGGGTCGAAAGAAAAATGAATGATGTCAGCTTGGGCCTTTTAAGTCAGGGGAGGGAACGAAGTACAGCAAAGACCCTTGCGTGGGCCCTGTCTAGTTTGTTCCTCCTTTCTAACCCTTGTACAGAATTTACTCTCTGCCAGGCACTGTGATATATAAAGGCAATCGGCGCTGATATAATTAACCCATGAAGTAAGCTGTGGCAGTGTAACAAGTGGAAAACAGAGACAGTGAGATGGAAAAAAAAAATACACACACACACACACACACATATGTGTAAATGTAAACGTTGTTAGTCTTTAGGGAAATGCAAATTAAAACTACAGTGAGCTACCACTTTATATTCACCAGGTTGGCCACGGTCAGAAAAGTGGAAAATAACAAATGTTGGCAAGGATGCAGAGAAGTTGGAAACCTTGTGCACTTGCTGGTGGGAATGTGGCATGGTATAGCAGCTGTGGAGTGAGCTGTGGAAATGGTTGGTGTTTCCTCTAAGCAGAATTACCGTATTACCCTGCAATTCCACTTCAAAGTATGTGGGCAAGAGAAACGAAAACAACAGGTGTTCAGATACCTTTTTGTTGACCAAAACAGGGAGGGGGGGGATGATATCACAGAAAATTTTAAATGTAAAAAATTTAATATAATAAAAACAAAACATTCATGAGGCAGCAAGGTGGCTTAGTGGGTGAAAGGTGCTTGCTGCCAAGCTTTACCGCCAGAGTTCAATCCCC